GCTTATCCCATCAACCCAAGTCCCACACGTCTACTAAACGCAAAGGAAACTTAAGGGTCTCGAACGCTCCAAAACGATGCAAGGTTAGCTGTTATTGGGAATGCGAGCTAGGCGAGGTTGACCTGAAACCCACTGGTGAACTGAGTATCATGGTCCATTGGGCCCCATCATTGGTTACAATTGATGATCTATCCCCCGATCTAATTCCAGATCTTCAGTGCGTTGTAAGCCAGAAGTATGGTCCTGAAGAATGGAAAAGACAGAGCGCAAAGTTGGTAAAGGGAGGCAACTGAGGGAGTTTTTTATTAGCTTTTTTACGCAGAAGGGTTTTTTATTTAACCATATATTTCTTAGCTTCATATTATAGAAAATACTATTTACTATCGAACGCATCAAACTACTACAAAATTGCAACGAATCGAAGACAAAAGAAGGAAAATACAAAGAGAATCATCAATAAGTCTACACACCCCCGAAACACTTATTATTTAGCTTTTCTCCGTCCGGAGCTTTCCTTATGCCCTTTCACAAGGTTACGTCGCTGTGACCTCTTCTTCGGTCGCTTCTCTTCCTCGCTACTCTCTAACTCCGAGTCAACCTCTTCTCTCGCTGATTCCCCGTCGTCTTCGTTCTGAACACCGTCCTGTTCGTTCTCCTCGCTTTCGCTATCGTCATTCTGGCTGTCATGATGGGGCTTCCCCCTCTGTTTGCTAACTTTAGGCGCGCTCCCCTCATTACCGAGCGCCGTTTCGAAGGGATGTGTTAAGCCGATCTCGGTCTTGCGCGGTATAATAACGAGCATCGCAATTAATGCCCTCCACTTGGCCCCATCACTTTCGACTTGCCAAGGAGCCTTTCGCTCTTTGCACTGTGTGTATCGTTCCTTCTCTTCCCTAAGCATTTTCTAGGCGATTAAGAGCGACGTAATGCGGCTCTCGATATCGTTAAAGTATTTATTATTGATCTTATTAAACTGAGAAGCAATAGTCTTGGTTGCATCCTTTTCTGACTTGGCTAGATTCTGCAGGAAGGACAGCTCCTTTCCGGTAAATATTTGCTCGTTATTTTTTGAAGAGACTTTCTGAACCCATTCGTGGTACAGGAGGTTAGGGATAGATAGGAGCTGCGAAGAAAAAGGCACCTGCCATGTTAACGTAGTTTGGCTTGTCATTACGCCGGGGTATTGGTGAATAGAGAGTAGGAACTGGATGTTAATTAACTAGGTATATAGGATGGTGGAAGTAATCTTATACTTAATGAGGTTGTCTGCGCTTTTATATAACGAAGCTAGTATTAGTTTCAGAACCTCAGCTCTATTTTCCAAAATTAACTATTCTCAAAATAAAAGCTTAGTGAAAAGAAGTTTTATTTTCAGTTTAAGGTAGGGAATCGAAACTACAGGACTTTTATACTGAATTCTATATTTTATAACCTCCGTATATAGTAACACTTACTTTCTATACGAAGCAGATTAATCCTTTGATTCTCATCGCTATAAGCAAATAGATAAGATATTCACCTGTGTATACATGTAGGTTGGTCCATTTTGATAGAACTGAAGTACTGCTATGCCACGGTAGTCAGAAACTCTACCTAAAATAATCTCAAAGATCATATCTGGTTACTCTTGACGATGAGGAACGTAACCTCACTAAATTCTAATCCTCGCACGTGCTATAATGCTAAATGAGGTTGGGACACGCTATATAACCCAACACCGCTATACCCTTTAGGAACAGTAAATCTCCTAGCTTCTTGAAACCGTCTCATCAGGCGCAAACTCTACAAAACGATGGGCGAAGACGTCGTATGAATGCTCGATGGCGAGATGATTCTTGAAGGCGGTGACGCCACTGGTGTTTTTATGCCCACATGAAGGGCTCGGGCATCGGATGGCGGTAGCCTTATCATATCCGTGGAGATGATATCTCTCCACGTGGTTCCTGGCTTTGTACCTTGTGCTGAATGTTCTGTCGCTTTCTAGGTCCCAATAGCAGAAAAAGCAGTGCATGGTTCCACACGCTAATCTGACCTCCTGCAATACCCTGCCCGGGCTTATCTTATCAGTCAGGGGGGATGACTGAGGTTGGTTGTTCGTTTGTGTCGGCATTGGCTCTGAGAGCTCTGTGAGTCCACCCAAAAGGATCAATGCCTCTACCGTGCAGATACGAGCCTGAAGCCTTATAGTCTCAGAGCTTTCGCTTAGATCGTTACCCAGTAGCTGTATAACAATTTTCCGTTCGTTAAGAATGCATCCAGACAGGAGTTTGGTATTAAGTTCGGCTTCAAGTTGATTAAGGTACTCTGATTTCTTATTGCGGAGTTGGCGATCAATTTCCATGCTACTAACGTTATTAAAAAAGTTGTCCCGTGTTCTCTTTGCCGCCTTATTCCGTACGAGAACCCGTATTGCTCGGGCTTTCTTATTAATATCGTTAAACGTATAATATAGATCCGTCCCTGTTTCACGGGCCGCCTTTAGTGTACCAGACTCCGAAGTAACTGCGTTCTTAAATAGTTCTCGAAGCTACTCGAGTTTATTAAGCTAATGCTCCTTGGTAACGATCTTAAGGTCTTTAGGCGCCGCTGTCACTAGAGCCCGGGCATCTACAGAACGACTTAGGTGCGTAGCTATCCTTATAAATGCTAATTTCGAAGGTTTATTAATAAAGGCGGCGACAATATCTACCTGAACGGACTGGTTAATATATACCTGATATATACCTGCGTCTCGATGGTTTATCACTTATTATAGTTGGCCCTGAGTCGCCACACCTGCGATGGTCAGCGATCGGACTCGAGTGTAAGGTGAAGCGGTTCTAACCTTTAATGGCCTCTCCGGCTCCTCTTCGAAAAGCATATAGAGTAATAGCAGCCTTAAATCCTGTATGCTTCCCAAGCTCGCGAAGGTATTCCAAATAGGTGTAGTATCCAATTAGCTATACACATAAACTCGTTTCTAGACAATCGGAACCGGTATAGCGAAAAATTAGTATATTAAGAATGCTCTCCTTCCAGGATAAGTTTAAAGAACCGCGGTTAGAGGTGGTTCGGACGGAGTAAAGGTTTTCCACAGAGCTAAAATCATCCCTGAAGGCGTTGTCTAGAAAGCCGATTGTAATTATAAGGACGGTTGCGTTAAATATAAGGTTGTTAACCTTATATAAAATGAACTTCTTACTATATTATATTAGTATATCCTATATCTTTTTAAAAAACTATTACTCACGGGTTCGGATTTTTAGCCCAGCCTTTAGTATATCTCAGAGTAATCTACATGGTAATAAGGTCCTTGGGCCCTCCTGGATTTGGCAAGGTGAACAGCGAGACATCCCTATACGTAAGTGTTTTGAAACCCCCTCTTTGTTCGCCTTGTGAGAGCGAAGGGCTAGGCGGTTCTTGACCGATATAGTAAGTAGCAAGTCGGTCTGGATTTATTGCCTTGTGGGCGATTGTTGCAGGGCGTATTGCGGTGAAGAATGATATTTGTTGCATAAGCGCAACGTTTAGTCTCTGCCGTTCGCTCGGGTATTTGATCTCGGGGCTTCCCCAGTGTGTCTGCAACAGCCGAAAAACATCATCGAAACAGAGAACTGGCTTTTCCCGGCGTTCTAAATCAAGACTGTAATCCATAGAAAGGTTGTTGTCAATCCACTGCGAACTGATGTTAGTTCGTTTTATTTGGTCCGTTATGGGCCTCTCTTACAAGATGGAGCGCCTCGTATATCTCTGGACTTAGTGCCATCCCAACTGACTTCTCGTACATCATCTTAAATGCTCTCTTGTAGCCCAGTAATGTCGTCTATTTCTGGATTTTTGAAGTGTCACAGAGCCACGTGAAGAAAACCATGAAACTTTCTTTGGTACCAGTCATCAAAGCGTCGTGATCGCTCAGATTCATTTCTTTGCAATATCTTGTGTCTGTAAGTAGTGGACTCGTCAGGCTGGATATTTTGACATACCCTTTCCATTTTTTGGCCAAAACACTCATCTTCAGTTGCGTTGTCTCGGAATAGTTGCGTTTCGGCTTCCACTGCTGTAAGCCTCGCTAAAGTGCCTCATATTCACCTCTGCTCAAAGGCTTGCGTTCTGAATGTTTCGATAAGGTGCGGTCCTGAGTATAAGACCTCCGTATTGGAGTCATGTTGCCTGTAGTTCGCAGGATGTTATGTTCTGGAATTCTAGCTGGAGACGAGGAGCACACAATCTTATATTTCTCCAATGTGTCGCATGGTGTGAGAGGTCCTGGTTCTGCTGTGCCGCACTCCAGGCTAGCGAATGGCATATGCACGGACATAACCGCTCTTCAAACATGCTCACATGCCACCCAGCCTTGGCGAACATGAGTGGAGAATGCAACGATCATGAGAAACTCAGAGTGAATGTGCAGTCAAGTGTCAATAGACGTGTCATGGTAGATAGATAAGGTACCTTGTCCTGCCAGAGCTGGAAATAGAGTGTGTGCCGTAATGATTGCCGCCCGGTTCTATTTTCAACTTTTCATGTTTATTTTCTGTTGGCGCTTAGCGGCTAAGCAGGTATCGAGTGGTTGAGGGGAGTGGATGTAAAAAACCACAGGGCAATTTTCCTCAGTTTTCAGCAGATATTTCTGCCAGAATCGGCATCACATTTCCCTTGAATTGATTGTCTGGATGTTCACTGGATGGTGGCCGTCGGTGGTTTGATTGTGAGCCAGATAATAACACAACCCGGAATCCAATTCCTCACAGCTGTTGTCTACGGGGTACTATGCGATGAGAATAGCTGCAATGATGCCAATCACGATTAAACATTTGATGCGAGTTTATTGAAACCTCAAATATCTCGGCGAAGATCGATGCTTACACAACGCTATCTCCTGGATCCAAATTTCTCCATACTGGTTTCAAGGAGCTCTTGCACTTCGTTTTCTTCCAGGACATGTTCCGGTCCCGTAATATCTATCGCATTATCCATCGCCACGCAGTTTCCTGCTTTAACACTCTCCAGACTTAAAAGAGTCAGAACGCACCACGAGGCCCAAACATCTCTGGGCAGAGATACAGGGTATTGTCCATCTTTCCCCCAGCGCGCTGCTTTAGACTGACCCAGGCATGTATACCCCGCCCGTCACTCAAAGGCCTTCGCTGGGCAGCAGCCAGCACCATGGCATATCTCTCCCTCGCCGCGACCGATGCGCCTACATCGATCAAATATCCATCGACCCTTCTCTTTACCTCAGCATCATCCGCCGCATAAGCATCGACAGGGAAGTGCACTGTTCCTACCGGTCGTTCACCAGTCTTTCCTGAGAAGGCAAAGCAGGAAAACAGAGACTTCCTTCGGTTCGAGCTGTTGTCCCGACCAAATTCATCCCCAGCCATGGCGGCAAAGAAGCGCTGAATTTCAAAGGCGTCGGCGTCAGGACAAATGCTGGCATGTTTCTGCGCGACTTCGGCCACGACGGCTCGGGACGTGGCATCGGCTCCGCCATGCGCAATGTACACCTTCACACGGGCCTCCTCGGTGTTGGACGCCAAGTCCAGCGAGAAATAAATCACATGGTCATTGGGACCAAGAAGCCCTTCTATCAACCGCCACCCCGTATCCAGGCCGAGCCGAGAGAAAGCCTCTCGGGCTGTTTGGGTAGCACTTTCTTTTCCCGCGGCACACGGGTCAAGGTAGATCTTCCATTGCGGTCCTTTGCTCGTCGACCAAGCACAGCTGTGCCAGGCTGCCAACTTCATTTCTCTGCGGGAGGATGGGGGTAAAAAGAGATCACGGATCGCGTCGAAGCGTTCGAGTGAGACAATGGAAGGATAGCTCTTCCCAATATCTTGGTTGGCGCGAAGTGCAGCCTCGACAAGATGTGCCCAGCTGTTCTCAAGAGGTTGGGCTTCGGTCAAGAAGCGCAACTCGGCTTTCCCGGTACCCTGATCGATGGAAACCGAGTATTCGACCGCGGATCCGTCGTTGCTGACGCTGGACGTCCACCGTGTCGTGTCGAGTTGTTTTGGAACCGCCGTCTTACCCCATTCACCAGTCACCAGGGCAAGGGCTTGGATCAACTCCTCCGCGGCGGCAGCGTCTTGTCCAGTTGCGGTGGAGAGATGCCTCAGCTGCCTGCTTGCTTCGCCGAGAAAGCTGTCATTGATAGCTTGATCTACGGCAACTGGCTTCAAGCCTGCTGAGAAGTGGCGAAGTTTCATGTGCTTGCCGCGAGTGATGACAGCATTGGGAACCGTGTGCCTTCGCTCATACAAGTCCTTGATAGCTGCCACAGTGTAGTCGATGTGCTCATCAGAATACACGTGACGTGGTACGGCAAAGCGGACGAGATTGGGAATCTTGGAACGCTCCTCGATCGGCTTGAGATCATACGCCCAACCGAATGGGCCGGCCTCGGCAGCACGGATGCCGTATTTCTTGATCAGCTCAATCGTGAAGCCAACGGCGGCAAAGTCCTCGAGCTTCCTGTTGCACCCGAAGAAGAATTGGTCCATGTCAAGGTAGACCGCGTGACCGCCAGGGGGAGACAGCACTGCGACGCCATTTGCCTGGAGCTTCTGGGCAAAGGATTGGACCTGTGTGATGCGGTGGCAAAGGTAGGCTTGGTCGGTGACTTGGTACAGACCAGCCGAGGCTGCCATGAGGTCACGGCCGCTCACTGAAGAGACAGCGTGTTAGTATCACTACCCGGAGACATAATGACAGATGCAACGTACTGCCGCCATAGGAGTCATTCCCATAACATAGGATCTGCCTCTCCTTAAGCAACATCCCAATGCCCTCGTATCTCTGTGCAAACAGACCTTGGTCACGGAAGCACAGCACACCGCCCATGTTCGCAAGCCCGTCCTTCTTCAAGCTGATGGTGAATCCCTCAGCATATGAAAACATCTCCTGAACGATGTCGGCAATGCTTTTGTCTGCATATCCATCTTCATATCTCTGGATGAAGTAGGCATTCTCCGCAAACCGACAAGCGTCCAGGAACAATGGTATCGAATGGAATTTGGCCAGAGAAGCGGCACCGCGAATATTCGCCATCGAAACAGGCTGTGCAGCGGCCCAGTTGTTTGTGATTGTCACCAAGATCATGCTGACCTTCCCGGGGTTCGCTTCCAGGTAGGCCTTGGTGGCGGCCAGGTCCAAATTCCCCTTGAAGTTGTTCTTGACACCAATCAAAGCCGATGGGAACGGATCCGTCAAGCCCGGCTGCGTGAAGGTCTGAAGGTTAAAGCCTGCAACAGCGGCGTTTGCCCCCGTGGTGTCAAAGAACCCGTTGCTGATGATGGCAGCGGGCTTGTCATGCTCAAGATGCGAGCCGTACCCTTCTGCAATCATGGCGCTCATGGTGGAGAAGAGGAGGGTTTCGGCGCAACGCCCCTGCGGCAGGATGAAGAAGTTGGGGCGCTCGAGCTGATGGCGGCCACCATTCACGAAGCCCCCTTTGGAGGATACGAGTAGCTTGGTCTGGTAAAACGCAACGTCGGTCTTACCTGCCAGCACCTTATCCATGACGTTGTGTCGATTGGTGCCACGCTCAAAGATATCGCGGAAGGCGTCCAGCAGGCAGTAATAACCCCAGTTACGACCGTAGCTTTCGTCTCCTCTCACCACTTCATCATCAGGTCAGTCACAGTGGCTTTGCCAGCTGTATTCGGAATGGGGGGATTCGCTTACAAGCTGCCCATTGGACATCAGTCATAGCCGAGGTGCCAGAGTCTGACAGAAAGTCACAAGTAAGGAGCCCAGCGGGGAAGGCAAAAACATTGTACTCAACATCCTCCAGAATCTTCTCACGTTCCTCTGCTGAGGCTGAGGGGAGAGATCTGACAACAAGGGCGGCATGTGCCGGTGGACGCGGGACAGAAGTCGCCATGGTGGCAGCAGCTTGGAAAGGCCTTGAACGGAACTGAAACGGCTACGTTGGACAACAGACTCACGACCGCCTTTTAAAATTTTTTTGACTGTGGTCTGGATTGTCTTCTCACTACTGCTATGCAAAGAGCCGTCATCTTCGGACTTTGCCCATCTCCAGTATACATCTGCTGCCATACAACGGGGCCATTTCGTGCGAGGCCGAGACGGCGGGATGTAGTATTGCTGACCGGCATCATCCTCAATTTCATCATAGCCTCAAAAGTCGGAGACGGCTCGGGAAGGCAAGACTAGGAGATAAAGCCAAAGCGGGACTAGAACCCGACAGGATACGAACCAGGACGGACTGATATTGCAAGCTGTATCTCCCAGCAAGAACCGTGCTTGGTTCTTGACATTTTACAGACGATAGGTTCTTGGGCCTGCATCTGTTGTGTTCCACAGGACTTCCCTATCAGGGATGTTTCCGACTGCCTGTGCTACGGGTATAAGCTGTTTTAGGTGTAGGCTGTACATCACAAGCCCGAAGAGATGCAGCTTTCTCACTCTCCTCGCATTTGTCACGCACCTCGGACGAACCTGAACACCGCGATCTTACCAACCGAGGGTGAATTTTCTAGCTTCAATTTCGTGATGGTTGTGTTGACCGCTTCTCTGTTGTGGTTAGGTTGTAACGCAATTGAGACATCTGCGTGGGAGCTGGACTCAAGAGACAATGCTGGGTTCCTCGAGGACTTATTGTCTAAGGTGCTTATCACGACTACTTACCCAAGGTTTGTATTTATGTCAACATCTGTTATCTCCCAATGGTAGATCATCCGAGCTCTACATATCATTTGGCCAGACTCGATCTGAGCTTCAATGTCATCTATCCGCTCGAAGACCAACCAGATAGCTCGAACGACCAATCCCCGAACGACTGCCCGTTCTTTTTCACTCAACAACTGGTCCAGGAGGATGCATAGAGACTTGCTCTATATTTTGCCAGTGATTTGGCCCGCCGCGGCTCTAGCGACCGGAGAGCTTGATGTTTTCCATACCTAAGGATGGGATGAACCAGAGGTCTCCCGATTGCATGGTTACAGCGCTTGTTGTTTATTCCCACGTAATGCCTTTACGGCGACGCTATGGTGGTTGGACGGGATCTGACGCTGTAGATCAATGGGACAGCTCGGCCCGCTCGGATTGAGTGTGAAAAGTTTGAATTTACTGTGTACAATGCAGGTTGGTGCTGACATGGCTACAATGTCATCAACCAGGCCAGTCGAGGTTGACGGAACAACTTTTATCCAACTATTGACCACTTGTTGGAGGTTGGGAACTTGTTGGTTGAGAGCCTGATGGATTCATGTCAAGAAAACGAATTACCAACGATCCGCTGCATAATCATGTTGCTCGGTCAGGCACCAAAGTAATATGAGATGGTAGTTTCCCCCCCTTCCCCTTGAAATACCTCCCAGATCAACCGCCACCGCCACCGTTCCACCTGCTAGACGACATCAAATGTCTTCCCTACATGTTTGGACAACGGCCACCGCCGTCATCGTCTCTCTTCTTCTCCTCACCAGGGCAATCACCTCCAAGAAGACGTCCAAATTCTCCTCCCTCCCATTACCACCCGGCCCACCTACCCTTCCCATCATCGGCAACCTCCACCAAGCACCCAAAACCCACCCATGGTTCCAATTCCACACCTGGGCCAAAACCTACGGCCCCGTCCTCCACCTCAACATGGCCGGCCAGCACGTCATCGTCCTCAGCACCAACAAAGCAGCCCACGACCTCCTCGCCAGGCAAGGTGCCACCTTCTCGGACAGACCTCACTTTGTCGTCGCGCACGAGCTGGCCCTCCAGGGAATGCACATGCTCCTCCGACCATACGACCAACGCTTCAAACTCCACCAAAAGCTCGAGAGCCCCGTGCTGGGCGAACGAGCGGCAAAGGCCTACGTCAAGATCCAAGACTTGGAGTCGAAACAGCTCCTCCTTGACCTCTTACGTGGCGGTGGGAGACCAATCAACCCCCACGACGAAATAGAGCGCATGACCGCCAGCGTGATCTACACCCTCTTTTACGGGCAGAGGGTCCGCGAGGCGGATGATGCCATCCTGCTTCAGGCTCACGCTGTAAACCATGAGTTCGACCAGCTGGCGCAGGTGGGAAAGTATCTGGTTGATTCGTTTCCTGTGCTGAACCGGCTGCCGGGGTTTTTGGCTCCTTGGAAGGCGGAGGCGGCGGAGCACTGGGGGAAACAACGGGCTCTTCACGTGGGGAATTTGGAGAGGGGGTTGAAGGGGGGGAGCTGGAATGTTGCGCGGCAGATGAAGAGGGCGGTTGATGGGATGGGGGAGGTTGTTATGTCTGTGGATGAGTTGGCGTTGGATATTGGGATTATGGCTGATGCTGCGCTTGATGCGAGCACGGAGACGATCATGTGGTTTGTTTTGGCTTGTGTTACTGAGGGCCATAGGGGGTGGGTTGACAAGGCACAGGGGGACTTGGATCGGGTTGTTGGACGGGGGCGGTTGCCCGGCTTTGATGACCGGGCTGGGTTGCCGTATGTTACTGCTGCTGTGGATGAGTTGATGCGGTGGCGGCCGGCGGGCCCGGCGGGGGTGCCGCATTTTACCAAGGTGGAGAGCAGCTACGAGGGTTGGCGGATTCCTGCCAACTCGGTGGTGATTCCGAATCATTGGGCGATTACACGGGAGGAGGCTGTGTTTGGCCCGGATGTGGAAGCGCTTGTGCCGGAGCGGTGGTTGGGAGAGGAGCTTCCCATCGTTGGGTTTGGGTATGGACGCCGGATATGCCCCGGCCGGCATGTTGCGCGGAATGGCTTGTGGATAGCGGTGGCACGGCTGTTGTGGGCTTTTGATATCATGCCTGAGTTGAATGAGTTGGGTGCGCCGGTGGACGTGGATACAAAAGGCACTGATGGACTGGTTACGAAACCATTGCCTTTCAAGGCTCGGTTTGTTCCCAGGGGGAGCTGGGTGAGGGATGTCGTGTCGAGGGAATGTGATACCTGGGGCGTGGACCATCATGACGTCCTCGATCAGATTGGACGTGAAGTCTTTAATTAAGTTGTGTTTTAAGGTCAAACTGTGATGAAAGATTTTCAGGTACTGAATAATCCAGAGGTAAAGTGCGCGTAGTTAAAGGCGCCAGCATACAGATATTCCCCAACGCCCGGCGTCATGTTGATGTTACCTAAGGCCGAAGAAGTTACACTTTTATCACGCCCTTCAACTAACCACAACATGAAAGTACGTATGTCTCCATCCTAACACGTCTCCAGGTTTATGCCATGAATGCTCTGACGAGGACAGAGCCCTCACGTAGTGGTGGTAAGGTATGCCGTACAACTCGGTATTGGGAATGTATGGCCAGAAAAGGGTTCAGATTACTAGGTAGTTACAGGTACTTTATTGAGTAAGCTCAGACTAGAGACAATGCAAGCTTGGACTGACACCTGATAATCTTGGGGTAACGGACAGAAGAAGCTCAGACTATAAAGTGAAAAAGCTTGGACTGAGGCCAAGGGTTAACTCGACAATCCGTTGATCCATTTACGGTAGATTGGTTTTCAGTGTGAGGCTTCTGCCAAGCATTTCCCTATAAAAGGTCCCGGATTATTTGTGTTTTCGAGACCGCTAACACTGCCGCGCATCACGGTGTGAGTGCGTCAAGTTGGCCGAGAGGGATTTTAGCCCCATGGACTTGGAGGAGAGGTATATCAGGTACCTTATATATCATCAAAGAATATCTCATGGCGTTGTAGAGGAAGCGATAACGACGATCAAAAATCACCCTCAGAGTCAGGATTAACCTATATATGTACTGTACAGTGGGGTGGGGGGGTGTTGGAAAGACGTTGACGGCGTTGAACTACATCGATGAAAACCAAAACAACCACGGCATTATAAGGTAGCTGGCATGTTGTCGGGTGCGGGTGTGCCAAGAGATGCAAAATCTGAGCTGTATTGCCAAGCATCAGCATTGCCTAAATAAAGTAACTCGTAATTCCAGCCAACGACACCTCGAGACCCACTCCCAATGGCAGCAACGTCAAGATCAACCACCAATCGCCGGTTTCCAAGCCTTACTAGGTAGCGGGTAGCTTTGGTGAGATGCAAGGCAGTGCGAAGCCTGAACATCACGGGCTTTAAAGACTGACAGGATGCCCTCCAAATACATCAGTCATTCTTCATTCTCTCCAAACGCCCATCATTGACAATCATGCGTCTAGAAATCCTTCTGTCTCTTTTCGCCGGCTTAACCGCCCGCGCAGAGTTGTTCCATCGCCAGCAACAACCTCCCGATGAAACCCCCAGCCCCATCCCCCGCCCAACAGGCACCAGCAACTCCTCCTCCCCTAACTTGACCCCCTACAAGATCGACTACTTCCACCTAGGCATGGAATACACCGCGCTCGACCTCTGCGGCCTAGACCCCTACGCTATCAAAGACGCCGGAAGGATCAACCCCAGTTACTGCCTCGTTGCCCGATACTGGGCTTTCATGCCCGACCTCACTGAGCTCAACTCAACAGAGACATTTGACTACGTCAACAGCAATTGGACCTCCAGCTCCGTCCAGTTCAGCCTGCGCGCGCTGTACACTGGTCTTTTTGCCCGTGGGATTCTACCGGAAGCACTCCGCGACTGGGCAAGCCAGGACCCGCGGGCTCTTCCGGGGATGGGGAATCTCTCCGACGATGACAAGCGCGCCATTGGAGAGCTGGTGGCTCGAGAGCGGGCGAACGGAACAAAAACGATTTCTCCTCCAGAGGATATGAGATCCTCCCGAGCAGCGGAGGTGACGGCGCAGATGCTGGCACTGGAGAGCTGGGATCGGCATCGGCGTTCGGCATTGTCGAGTGTCACCCCAGTGCCGACGGCAGCGTTTGCCCTCGGGGCAGAGGACAAGAAGGAGGTGTTTTTGGTTTTGTCGTCGGCGTTGCCGCAGGTGTTTGGAAAGCTGGGCGGGCCGAGGAATGAGACGGAGAAGGGGAGAGATCCGAAATCGATGGGGATTACTGAGACGTATTTGAAGTCGCCGTTTGTTCCAGCAGGGCCGAACGCGAGGGTGTTGTGGTATACTGCTTTGACGCCAGAGGAGTTGTCTGGTGCTGTAGGACTGCGCGCGTTTGCCAGTTGGGGGCTTTGGATGGGGATTTGGGGGTTGATGGGGTTCGTGGCTGTGTTGTGAGCGGAGTTGACGTATTTGTGATTGAGCGTATGTCGAAAACAATTGTAGACACTTGACATTTTGATTGGCGGTAGCTTTGTTCATGCGGACTATATGGAGCCCCGTGTCTGCTCGATTCTTTGACGCTGAGCGATATTAGCCAGGTGTTTGCCTTTCTCGGATCCGACATCAAGTAGCGTATATGGGATCATTGGCAGGGCATGGGTTTCCGCCGGCAATGTCTGGCTTGAGCGGTGTCTAGAAGGGTCCCTGATGTAATGACCTCGTTGTGCCTTTGTTGGCCACCGTCAAAGGATCTCACGATCCATGCTGCTCAAGCAGAGGCGCAGTTCGGTTCTGCGATGTGTGCATTTGACCGGGAAACTACCTCTAGACCAGACTCTTGGTAGGTATTAATGATGCCTCCTCCCCTTCGTTGACAGACTTCCATTCACCATCATCGCAGGCACACTCCCACCTGCAGCAACATCACCTACCAACCAAAACACCACACATCACTTCCACAGCCACAGAATGAAGTTTACCACCATGGTCATGGCCGCCCCTCGCGCGCCCCCTCCCTCCGGCGCCGTCATCCCCCTGGCCAAGCGCTTCAACCACACCCCCAACCCGTCCAAGACCAACCTCTGCAGCGAGGCCAACCCCCAATACCGCACCAGCGAACCTTCCACCAAGGCCTCGGACTGCTGGGAGATCCCCACCAAGTCCTCCCCCGCCAACATCCCCGGTTACTGGACCCTCAATTCTACTGAGGCCGGCTCCGGTCAGTGGTACAGCCTCGGCACCTTTGGTACCTGCGAGTTCAAGGTTCGCGGCAAGGAGGGGGAGCAGCTGGATTTTGGGACGTACGATGTCAAGTTTTATATCGATGCCCACACCAGACAGGGGTATGATGAGGAGGGGCGAATTGAGGTTGCGAGCCCGGTTACGTGTGACGGGGGTGTGGATGCTGAGTGGGCTGTTGCTCATGTTTGAGGAAGGGCGGAAGAGGATGAAGGGTAACTGAGAGAGGTCCTGCTGGGAATTTAACATTCGTGGCTTTTTGGGAGGAAGAGCAAGAACTGGAAGATAGAGATATAGAATTGGCTGGATCAAAGGAGATGCGCAACAATGGAAAGATTTGCCATGAAACGAATGTTTGAACTGCTTTGATCGGCAAAGCCATTTTGTAATAGCTGTGATCCTGTCATCTGAAAAGTCCGTGGCACTGTCAGCCCAAGCCGTTCTTTCCATGTTGGGTGCCAAGGCCAGCTGAGATGGAAGGCACCACACCTCAACAGCAGAGAGAGTCGCTCTTTCCTCCTGCTGCTTAGCAACACCAAACACGTGGTCATGATCCTGTGATATGATGTCGTCATCAAAGCTGCAGTATGAACACCTCGATCAGCAGGACCACTCCATCCGTCTTTTGCGCCTCGTCCCAGGACGATGGCTCGACAACATCTACTGCGAGCTGCAAACCGTCTCGCTCGATGACAACCCCGCATACCACGCTCTTTCCTACGTCTGGGGTAACCCTCAAGACACAGGCCTTATCACCGTGGATGGTTCACCATTCCAAGCCACCAAGAACCTGATCACTGCCCTGCGGCGGCTGAGATCCAGTATCGACGTCAAGGTGTTCTGGGTGGACGCCGTGTGCATCAACCAGCTAGACACGAACGAGAAGACAAGTCAGCTAGGGCTGATGGCTAGAATATACAAGAGTGCAGCAGACGTACAGGTTTTCTTGGGCGAGAGTGGTGTTCTCGACCTCATACCGCACGAACAACAGGCGCTGTGGGATGATCCGCCGCGGACGCACTGGGTTCGGGATGCCACTATGTTAATTCACACAGAGCATCCGCCGCATAAAGACGGGGTGGGTTTTTACCACCAGCCTTTGTTTGCTCAGAGCCATGTGCTAAAAGTTTTAGAAAACCTTAGTTGGACTCTCGAGGTGTCATAATCGACTGGGGAACATACCTCCGTTTGCCAAACTCACCGGAACAACCTGGCTATAAACCCGCCTCGAGAGAGGTCCCTATGTGGGCTATAGTTCGTACATACCTGCAGTATATTACTGCTAGCTCGCACTCTACTAACACATCGGGGACAGTTGGATCCATCAAATGGCCTGAATGCCGCAGATCAGCACAGGGTTGACCAGTTCTTCGCGAGACAGCAGGATCCCATGCATGGCCGCGATGAAGAGCTGCCACCGCTCGAAAGGTTACGACATAACCAGTCTGGTGCCTTTGCCTTGATGAAGATGCTCTCAAATGGGAGATGTCTGAAGGTGTGTTGCCAGGGCCCTCTGGACTCACCAGCCTGGCAAGGGGCTCTCAATGTAATTGCCCATGTCGTCAGCCTACCGTGGTGGTCACGAGCTTGGGTCTTGCAAGAAGCCATCTTACCCCAACGGGATGTCCTCGCCATCTACGGCGAGATCGTCGTTCCCATAGGTCTTATTGAAGATTCCGGAGCCGTTCTTCCACGCCACTATGCACGCGGTGATTGCTGCAAGCGCTTTTGGAACTCGCTGCCTCAGGTCCAGAAAGCAACCCTCGAAAAGTTTGCCAACACCATGGGCCAGCTAGAGGGCATCAGACAGACATTGAACATGCTGAAGATGAAGCAAATTGAAATGCTCAAATATCTGATAGAGAAGACGCGTTTTAAAGAGGCTACCGACCCGCGCGACAAGATTTACGGCCTGTTGGGCCTTCTCAGCAACTGCGATGAACCCATCGACCTGATTCCTGATTACCACCTCTCCGCAAACGACCTCTACACCAAGGTGGCAATGCAAATGATCAGCTACACCAGAAGCCTCTCCATTCTCCACCACCACGAGTTTCGCTCCTCCCCTCTGTGTTCAGAGTTACCATCATGGGTGCCATGCTGGGGCCCAACCTACGGCTCCCTCACCCCCTTTCAAATCGGAGAACGCACTGCCAACTTCTTGGCTTGCCCCCCTGGGCCAGGCAGGATCCCTCATCTTGCCATCGACACTCCTTGCCCCAATGCTTTGGTTGTGCAAGGGAGATTCGTCTCGAAAGTCTCTGCCGTCACGACTCCCGCTTCCAAAGAAACGACAAGTTTATTCATAGACTTGCTGACCTTCCTCCAGATTTTCTTCGACATTGACCCCTTCTCTCTCCACCCAATAACCCAAGAACCACAAGAGGATGCGCTAGCCCGCACGCTTCTGTCGGACCAAGTCTTTGAGGTACGATATGAGTTCAAGGCTGGGCAAGTAGTGTTCAGCAGAGCCTACGCTGGGGATATCCAGATGTTTCGTCTCGCTCGTCAGATCTTGATGGCGCAGAAGATGGGACAGACTTTGGTGCTCACCTTGCCGAACGGCACGGTCATAGATGACCAGGCAAAGGCGCATGTGGTGATGCATGCCGAGGAGAACTTCTGGTGTGCCAATGAGGGGAGGGTGTTTTTCCGAACAGAAGAGGGCCATTTTGGGTCTGGGCCGAGGGAAACAAATGTGGGGGATGAGGTTTGGGTTGTGTTGGGGAGTTTGGTACCTCTGGTTTTGAGAAGGGCAACAGAGGGGGAGGACGGTAGAAGGCTGGTGGGCTATGCGTATGTTCATGGGATTATGGACGGGGAGGCTGCGCCTGGGGTGAATGGGGAGGGGAAGAGGGAGGTATATTTGGTGTAGCTCCACGCAGAGCTTGCTATCGCTTGACTTGGGGTCCGTTCCCAGGATCCTGACTAGCCATGTCCATGTGCCTGTGATGACTCCCCCGGACGCCGGGCAGAGGGGCGGTGGGTATCCATGATATGAGATTCCTGCAACAATACTCGCTGGTGACTGACAAGAAACAAAACCAGTAAACGCCGTCGTCCACCCCATCCTTTTATGTACATCATATTACGTTGCCCAAGCCACCGTGGCCGTATCGCTGTCGATTTGGCCGAGTATTTCCCTCTACCCTACATCATTCCCAGTCGCTTATCGTACAACTTGGTCGTGTCGTTCGGTTTTTCAAGTTTCGTCGTTCGAGATCAAAGATCGGGGTTTAAGCGGGACTAAGGTTCAGAGTCAGCGACAGTTACCAAGAGAGAGAAGTGTTGGAATGATACTGACACAAGGAAGGCCTCACCAAAGCCAGTGCTCAAAAAAGCAACAGCAAGACCAAAGATGGTGATGCTGCGGGTGATCTCGGCATTCTCAGAGTAGAAGAGAGCGTTGGTGGCAATGGTAAATGGGTTCATGGAGCCCTTCTTCGCGCGGCGGGGGACGGGACCCTGGCCACCCATACCGATGTATTGACGGTTCATTTTGGCGGTGGTGATGTGTGGTTGTTGTTGAGAGAGTGACGGGCGCTGGGGGGAGTGCTGGTGGAATTGCCGTGTCCGGGGATGTGGAATCGAAATTTTGGCAGTGACGCAGGTGGTCCAAGAATTCGACACCAGCCACAGTCAATTGATGACCCCACCACTCGGTGTAGTGCGTGTGCACCAGCCACAGATCCCCCGGAACATTGAGGCTGAGGCCAAGCCAAGCTCGTGACCCCCGCAGCTGACAGGGCTCCACCTGAGCTTCAGGCCCCTCACCTCACCCCACCAAGTCTCCTGACGACGACTCTGTCATTGTCCGCCACTATAAAGAACTGCGACGACGACCATACCAACCAATGCCACTACTACCTTCCTCACCATAAACACATTGACCAATCACGCTTTCCCAGCATTGAACACGAGTTACACAACAGACACTCCAATCTTCACAATCTTCACACACATACACACACACAATCTGAGGATGTCTAACATCGACCAAACCGGGGGCGGCTTTCTCCCACCATCACCAGCTCCAACAGCGACCTCGACTGCCACCGCCAACACATTCAGCGGCAACGCCTCGCCATTACCACACCCTCGAGGCCACGCCCTCAAAGCAGGCTCTGCCAAGGAGGACAAGATCCGTAACTACATCTCAGATCGCCTCGCCCACATCAACCGCCGTCTGGTCACCAAACCAGAAGAAGAGACCGACAACAACATCAAACCATACACTTCACTGGCTGACCTGTGCCAAACTGACCTCGATCCACTCATCAACATCATATGGCTATCCGGGACACGTACGTTGCATCACTCTCTTTCTTGCGTGGACTATTGCTGACTTTGACATAGCGGCCCTGCAAATACCATACCTTCTCAACATTGCTTCCGACTTCAATGACTGGCTGCAAACACCCACGTCCTTTTCAGTCGCACACAAGGCATCTTCACCAACCATATTCGGCACTTTGTCCAAACTGGACCATTGCTTTGCCAGTCTGCTTTGTGGCCGCGATTTCGTCACTTCTGAACCCCTTCCTGGCTTCTTCAACTCTGCATCGACGACCGGGGGCTCCGGAATGTCCAAGACAGATATGGTGAGACTCAAGAGCACGGTTCAGCAGACGAGAGTTGTTATTGTTGACGTCCTGGACAATGATGATGACGGGGAAACTAGCAGGGTGGAGGAACTTGATGATCAAGATGGAGAAGAGGGGGATGATTATGATGGCGATGAGTGGGACGACCGTGAGAAAGAGCGCATGTTCATGGATGTGGCGCGCGTTTATGAGAATACGCTGGTCAAACTGGGAGAGTTGCTTTTGGAGTAACTGTTTCGTTCAGCGCTCTAGCTCGCATACATTACTAACTACCGACCCCTCTCCCAGAGGCAACCCACCACTCCGCTACTCCTCCTACCCCTAGCACAATCACCGCCGAGCCCCCTGGCTTAAGCATGTCCTATCCTAGTATGCCTCAATCTCAGCCAACTCACCCGCATCTCGGGGGATCTGGCACCTCCCAGTTCCGCACCGCGGCGGCTGGATTCGGCAAGTCTTGGTCGACTCGACGCAGATGGCATCAAGTCTCGTGCACGGCTCGAACCCGCCGATACAAACCTCGTTCACACACTTCTCGACGCCGTTGCAGTATCTGCCATCGTCACACTGGGCGTCGGACGAACAGAAATTGGCAGGCTTGTCGGGAAGCCAGAGATCGGGACTCCTCTCGCCCAAGATGGCAACCAACTCAACAATATCCTTCTTCAAGGTGAATGACCTCTCCCCATTGGCGTTCAGTCCGAGTGCCTGCGAGACCTTGGCCCTGAGAGCCTTCTCAAGCTCACCGCTGTAGGCGGTGTTAAGTGCTTGGGTCTTTTCCTCGATCACACTTTTGGCGAGCATCTCGACAAGGTTATCAAGAAGATCAAACGGAGTGGCGAGCAGCGTGCCGGCAGTAATATCGATAACCGACCGGAGGATGTCATTCCAAACTGCCTTAAGGGAGTCACCCTTGAAGAGGTGGGTTACCGCCTTGAGGATACTGGATGTGCTACCCAGGATGGCCGTGACAAGACCGTTAAGGAAGGACACCCCGCTGATGTTGAACTTGATGTTCGTGTCGCTGAGTTGGGCAGCAACCTTGGTGATGGGACGGATGGTGAGGATGTAGTTGCCTGCCGCATCGCGTTTGAGAGGGGCAGGTGCGAAGGTGAAGAGGATGGCAAGTTGAGCACGGGTGGCCAGAGAGCCAGCTGCGTTGAACGAGTCGGAACCAGCGCCGATGCACTTACCCAGGACCCGAGTCCCGAACTTTTGCTTGATATCGGCGCGCGCCCAAAGCTCGATGGGGAGGTCGGCGACGAAGATGCCGGGGTTGGATAGGGAGATGGGGTTGCCCGAGAACTTGATGCCGGCCTCGGCGAGGAGCTTGGCATTGGCTTGGGTGCCAGTGATCTCGGCCGTGACCGTGCAGGAATGGCCAGTGTCAATTTTGACATTGGTGGGGTCGTTGTATTGGAAGAGAAGACCGCTTCGATCAATCTTGATGTTGTTTGCAGCGAGCGCATCGTTCACCTTGGCGGCGACGACGCGGCAGAGTAGCTGAACAGTGGCATCGCCTTGTGAACACTCCAAGAAACCGATGAGGGGGTTGAGGAGGTCAGAAAGACGGACAGTGCCGCGGGGCTTGAGGGCGCGGAACTGATAGGGCTCGAGGGAGGTTTCTGTGCCGGTGGTAGCACGGGGCGCAGTGATTGCTGTGGCGGTTGTCAGCCCCAGAAGGGGAAGCAATGGAAGAAATCTCATTTTCAAGCTTCTACTTGAGCTGAGGATCTTGATGGGGCGGCGTTGTGTGTTCAAGAAAGGCAGTAGAAGAGAAGATCATGGTGGCATTTTATACCTGCCAGTCAGGTACATTGTGGACTGAGGCATTCATGACAGAGAAGTTCGCCGAACAACTCTTGTGTATGGTGCGATGCCATCGCGATGTCCGATGCTTCGCTTCATCATGGTATCGAACGTGTTGGTTTCCCACCCAGCTCAATCTCCCAAGGCCGATTTATAGTGCCATGTCTCGGCTGATATATTGCAATGGTATTGACTAGACAGCCGAGTGTAGCGCTGAACATGTGTGCACTTTAGAGCCCGGAACCGTTACCAGTTGCACAGCAGCCAGCCAATGGAAGGCTTTTCCAGCCGAGACCCCGCATAAAGTCAACATACAGAAAGGGGATGCAGTTCGATCTTTTGTCTTGCTTTGGAACACAATGGCAGCGAGGTGGAATTCGCCGAATATTGGTTTGGCACCCCAGAAACAAAAGACGGTACGGCTGGATCTTGGGTGTCATTTTTACGTTTATAACCAGAGACTGGGTTTTGCTTTGTCACCAGTGACCAAGGGTACCCCTAGAAGTAGGTCGTCGCATATGTTAAGTCGTTTGAGAGGTCCGACTGAGTGATCATGACTTGAAACTACAAGACTTATCACGAGGCTCTCTCTAATGATAAACAATTCCGGAACCAAATAGGTGCTGTTCGCCCTCAATACTCTCACCCGGGATCCAACCAAACTTTGAGTGACTTAACACGATTGACCCCTGCATTTTCAGGCACACCAGGCACCAACCGCTGTGCCCCAATGCCTGCCTTGAGCAAAAGGGGCGGTTGCTAACAATATGCCACTACAGTTCAGCCGGGAGTTGTTAGTGCGAATCATGGCAAAATCAACACCGCTTACACAAGATCCACGCCGACGGAGAGGTGGAAGTCCATCAAGTAGATATTTAATACCGTAGCATGACCGCTATAGATCAAGCAACAGCTTTGTGACAAGACATACATATCAGAATGTTGGCACTGGAAAACTTCAAAACCGACACAATCGAGAATGTATTTCAGCGATGCATTCTCATCACTGGAACAACAGCTGCAGCTATTGATCACATCCTGCTCAAAGCCGAGTCTCGAAGGGGCATGCCTGACCAGCCGGCACAGCCATGGCCAGTTTCCAACGGCCACTTCAAGGCTTTAGCCCTCCTCACCCCTGGCCTCAATACCATCAGCGTCATCTCCGGAAACGACGGTGATGACAAGATCGAACTCCGCATACGGTACCTCCCCTTGACCAAGACGCCACCGCTGCACCTGGCTATCCTGATAGCCAAAGACTCGCCTTTGTCCATTGACTGTCCTCCTGTCAAATTCGGCGCCTTGAGCAGCACCCACTCCAGCCTCGATGCCGCCATCGCCAAGTTCCGCGTCACAGCCCTGATGTGGCAGGCGCTCGTTCCAGAAGAGATGCAAAAGGCAGATCCCGGCCGCCGCTCGTTTTGCTTGGAGGAGGAGAGGGGGGTGGATACGCTCACCCGAGATCAGGTCCGAAACTCTTTCACCTCACCCAAAGAGGCGATGGGCTTGGTCCCGCGTGTGCACCTTGTCCGTGCTAGCAGGACAGTGGCGGAAATTCGTGTTATGGATGGGCCACAACTGGAAGACGCGTTTGTCGAAGCCCTCAAGATCTGCGGCGGACCGTTCGTTGCCAGAAACAAACCTGTTGTTGCCGGCCTCATTCTAGATTCCCACTTTGACGCGAAGCGGAAACGGGTCCTGGGGCATGCAGCAAGAGGGAGATACGACCCGGATGGTCTGTCGCTTGCCATGTTCGGAAGTCACCTCACGTACGCTTGGCCCAGGTTCATGGATGAGATCCCCGATTGCTTGCTGGATACCAAACCATCTGGCGATTCAGTAGACGGCCGGTCTTGCTCCCCCTTGTGGCAAACCTGCGCCGTGGGCCAGCGAGACTTTTTCTATCAAGTCCTGTCGGCATTTGGCGCCAAGACTGAACAGTCCAGGCGGGTGGATGATATCGCTGAGTGGCCCATGGCCTTCCTCGGGTCTTGTCATGGCCAAAAGCATGCCGGATGTCAACGTCTGTCGGATCGCGCCTGGGATGTTTCCGTCTACGGTCACCTCCGCGATCTGCTCTTCCTTCGCGCCTCCCGACCTCACTTCCGCGTCCCGGGCGATAAAGGCACCCTCTTTTGCCTTGACCCGCCTGTCATTGAGATATCTGGCACGTTTGAGAAAGCTGTTGTTACGATTTCCTCCACCACGGGGATCAAGCACTTCAGCACGGAGCAGGGGCCATGGCCTTCGGCCTCGTTTGTAAAGTGTAGCCCTGGCCTGTGGAAAGCGGTGCTTGACAAGGAGTTTATTGCGAGAAGCGTGCACAAGACATGGGGCATAAAGGTTCTGGCGGGGAATGGGCTGGAGACAGAGGTGCAGAATATTTGGGCACATTTACACCCCGCCACAGTTTTCACTCTCCCGGGGCGGAGGGGCATTACCATTGAGAAGATGAGTGTTGGTCCGCGGGGTGGTGCTCCTGTTTCGGGATCAACAGGCTGGACGGCGATGTTGAAGAAGAAAGACTCGGATGGGAAGGTGGTGAGGGCTACAAAGTTGGCGCTGCATGTTGGTGATGCGCTTGACGGTGCCATGTTGTATTATTCTGACGGGACGTTCGTGACATGCGGGCAACCAGGGAAGATACCGGGCGGTCACCAAAGAAGGTGTATTGGTCTCAGAAAGGGAGTGGAGATCAAATGTGTAGCTGTGACAAGAATGGAGAGGAGCTGGTGGCCTTTAGTTGGGCTGAGGGTGTGGATGGGTGATGGGAGGGGGATGGGTGCGCTGAACGCACGGCATCATGGAGGGAAGAATACCGAATTTCTTGTCCCGGGGAAGGGGAGGAGGATTGTTGGTTTTTTTGGACGGCATGGAGGGGTGGGGGGGTTGTGTAGTGAGTTTGGGATTATCACTGCGCCGGAGGGGGTGAGGTTGCCGGAGGAGGTGTATGATGAAACGAAGTGGGAGGTGGTAGATGGGGAGGAACAGGTGGGAGACGATAGGAAGAGGGAGGCTGAAAAGGAGGGTGAGGATGGAGGTCGTCGGGCAAAGAGAAGAAAGGTTGAGGTGAGTGAATCGTGTTTTGAGATAGGCGTGAGTTGAATGATAACCTTTTTATGATGACAGGACTCGATGGTACTTGAAAGTAGCACGATGAAGCTGGATGACGGCCGGGATTCAAGCAGTGACGAGGAAGGAGAGAATGACGTTGCGGATGATGCCGACTTTGGGTATGATGATTTCCGGACGTCCAATGCGTTCAAGGAGTTATATGAGGGCAAGGGCTATGTAAGTACTAGTTGCAACATGTAAGTCTAACTCCATGTAAAGCCGGTTAGCAGGATAAGGGAGGGGGATACGGTTTGATGAGGGCTTTGCAGGATTTGGATCGGGCTACGTCGGGGAGGGGGCCGTTGGGGGGTGGACTAATGGGACTGTTGCTGCTGGCGGGGAGGAGTTGAGTGATGGCTTTTGTGGTGGTGGTGGTCTGAGTTTGCTTCAGGAAGATACCAGGAAACCTAACTACCTAATCCAATACCGCATCCACATTCCTTGAGCCCTGCTCCGAAATTTCACAGCATTCCGTAGAGTCAGCAGTATTGCACTGCCCACCGTCATCACGGCACCAGCAGCTTTCCACCCTGCGGGCGCTGAGCCGGCGAGGTCAGGTAAGACCCAACCAAGCGTAAACAGCACCGGTGAAGGTAAAAGCGAGAAAATAGGCAGGACAGTAAAGAGAAGTGTCCCCCGCAAGCCGTTGTGGCGGACATCGGGATCCCCGAATTATGAACCCTAAAGAAACCCACACGCACACATGAAAGGTGACTGTGACACCGAAGACAGTCCAGGCAAATCCTTTCATCTAGCCCCAGTGAGCCCCGGGTCCAGATAATCGGAATTGATACCACTGGCAGGGTGGCAAAAAGTACGAATGCTGCGCCGCGCTTGCCTTCTTTCTTATAGTGTATGCCGTCCTGCTTATAACGCATATCATCAATCCATTGGAGCAGAAAGAGTCCGGGGCGGTAAAGTGGCTTCAAGATTGCTGTGAAGGCAGATTCATGGGCGTTAGCCTCGTTACCTCGATACTGCGGGTAGAGTGTTATAACAGAACTGATCTACTTCTCTTTGATGTGGATCCACAGCCGACTGCTACACAACTAGCGAATAGTATATGCCGCAAGCATCATGCTAAGAGCTGTTATGGCCCAACTATATAGAGGGACCCCTCCTTGGAACTCCTTTGAAGAGTAACATAATGATCAGCCTGGCATCACTTTTAAGTTTGAGAAAGAAGGTTGGAAGGCTACATATCAACATTTCCATCCCAAAAGCTGAAGTTGAAAAGCTCAAAGGAATGAAGAGAAAGGCAAGTTCCGTGAGTCTCCACATTGCTTTTGCTTCGTGAAGCTGGAGTTGTCTTTCTGTGAGAGCGATTCGGGATTCAAATGTCGCTTGGGTTTTCACCATTTGTGTTCCAAAGGCGTTGGCAATTTGAAGCATTTGGCTGAGCTTTCTCGAGGAGGTAGATGATATTTTGGAGTTATCAGTCAAGTTGACCGAAAGCCCTCTGTAGAACTTGAACAGCCCATGTGGCGCAGTTGATGCTTGGCATAAGGGTACTGTGACTGATCTCCGCTGAAGTGTATCGATGCTCGCAAATGCCATTTCGAGTGTACGCAGAGTGTGGCGTAGAATAGGATCAATCACGCGCAAGTTTTCTAAGACGTGTTCCCAACTTCTGGACCGCAGGTTCTCCTCCACGCTCGCTGGGTTTCTCATTCCCTGTCTAATATTTTCTATTAGTATGTGGCTTCTTGATGCAACACAATTAATTCTTGTTGGAACAGCTCAAGTATCGACCAAATGACGAGCGGTGGCGAAAAGTCAACAGACGTGGCATCCTCATGATGCCGGCATATGGAATCCACATCTCGTCAAGGGACCAGTTGTCTTATGAATTACTGGATGCGATGCCGCCGTCAGCGGGACGTCTTGTGCTGACAAGTCTTTGTTCAAACACCTGTTCTGTATCCTGGCCTAGCAGTTTCCGCCAGGTCCGAGTCAAAGTGTACGCATCGATGAGGATAATGACTGTTGGGTCGCAATAAGCAACTGGGACGTCAAATGGCTAGCTTCTGCTTTTCTTACCCGTCACTGTGGAAATATCCAGATCGGACCTGGATTCATGAAAATATATCGATATGCACTGGTCAAGACCAGCAAGACCCCTGCCCTCGGACTCGGATGATGTTTCAGAACAGAATAATGACCTTAATCGACGAAGCGACCCCGAGGCATCGCACTGGATGCTTTGCAGATGGTTACCCTGTAGGGTTTGTGGCGTATCTTCCTTCTTCATCGATAGTTCACGTCTATCAATCATTCGCGGCCCCATAAATGAGACCATGGTAGATTGACCATGTCAAACAATATTGGATGACACCATCGAACAGTGAAGAAGGGTTTTGGTCGCTGCGATGTCCCTCAGAGCCACGTGTCGCTATCTGTGACGCGCAATGCTGTGCCCAAAACTCAGGATCAATGTTGTAGACTGACCCCACATCTCAACCACATCGAGCGACATCTGCTCCACCAACACAGCTCTGTCGGTCATGCCCGTGATATCCTGCAAACAGTTCTTCAGCTTAGCCTCTCCTGACAGTATTTGGTCCGGGGACTCCAACTCCCAATTTGTGAACATCCTGCATGGACCTCGTCGCAGGCTTTCTTCGAGCTCTGTCAGGTTGAATTGCTTGAGTTTAATAGAAGCTGGCTGATTGAATGTTGTTTGTGCTTTCCAACTGACTACCCCACCACGTGAGTAAGGATTGTCTAATCTTGGACCATCTGGGAAGCAAGGTGCATTTGAAGGGGTTTGGGTTGCGGCGCTTTGTTAAGTGCAAGAATGCGGTCAATATAGGATGTTTGGGCTGGGCTAGTATCATAGCACTGCTGATGAGCTTTCTGGTTATCAGTATGCTCAGGGCACACCTCGGTGCCATTGTCGGGTAGATGTGGTCAGACATCGCATGTGCTAAGCTTTTCGATTAGGTACGGAAACTAGCAGGTTTCGTTGCGATAAACTTTGAGGAAGGTCGGGAACCTGAAGCCATTCGGGAAAGAAGAGGAAAGGTAGGTACGAGATGGTTGGAGAGATAAAGTTTCTATTAGGTAGGGGAAGACGGCCTCTGAAGAGTTTTCAGCTCTGGACACAGCGACTTCGATGGGTGCTTACACGACCAACGATCACCACTTAGGCCACGGGCCGTGCATAACCTCTGTTGCCGCATATCTAATAGTTCAGGCGTCGCACTTTTCGGAGAGGAATTGGCTAGGTGAACCGAGGAATCAATGGCAGGTGCCTTTCAAAACTGAGATGCATGTGACGGTGTGAAATCTACTTCACTTGCTGTGTCATGACGCATAGCTGCGCACGCAGATCTCAGATTGTAGAGACCGTAGAGTACCTAGCTTATGTGAAACGGTTCACAAGACCTTGGAAGCCGGCCAGGCAATCTGGGCTTGGGTTTGGGACCTGGAAGTCCATTGCAAATGAACTGAAATTGCCTAAATCATGCTTTATTCAGTTTATCTTTTCAGGGACTGAGTGGCATGTCATGCCCGTTCGGCTAGACTCGCCATAAGGAACTCACGCTATCGATGCTTCATTTTTGTAAGCAGATTGCAGGTGTACAGAGTGAAAGGGCAACGATAAGACGCCAGATTCCCGTTGTCTTGATGACTTGACCAAAATATCAACAATTTAATACGAGTTAATTTGGAGCAAAAATAACTTCATCCAATGCTCTAGTGACATCGACTGAAGCTGATTACATGTAAGTGTCTGGTGAATGGAGGGGGGCGATGTAATCATCTCAGGAACGTTGGTGTGTTTGATACTTTACCGGAAGACATAGGGTGATGTAAACTAAAAATACTTCTTCGCGGTGGCTTAGCACCACGTAGGTAGGATATGGCTCATTTTCAGCCGGTTGATGATTCGGATATATACCCATGTATGCATTCTTACAACCATCGCAACTTTCGCGAGTGTTTGGACAGGTATTCCAGCGGGCTAGAGAACAAGGATGTACCCAGCGCTCAGACTACGGAAGGGCAGGCTCGGTGATAACGTTGGCTTTGCTTCGGCAGCAGGTAACAGTGCCACGTAATCAGGATACATATATTCACCGAGGACTGCCCTTAGTTGTCAAGCAGTTGGCTTACGAGAGGGATTCAGGTCTATGGCAATTTTATTTGTGCGGTATTTACCACTAGCGAGCTTACTGTTGATGATCACGCTGGCTAAGAAGTGGGGAAAAGACCAAAGGAGAGGGGTGAATATCGCTGGAAGCATCACTCAAAGTCTTGGGTGATGGGACGGAAGGAAAGCTGAAGGCAGACAGAAAATCTATAAAGTCCACAGCACCTGCCCATGTGCAACACTCTCTTTCCTCTCCATCACACTCTCTGACACATCAACATCGAAGACACTAATTAACTTAACTACAAAGAGCTCTCTTCACAAACAGCCTGTCTTCATCACGCTCGCCAAATCCATCCTCCTCGCCCTCTTCAGCGCCATCGCTGTCAACAGCTTCGTCGTCCCCGAAGGCACGGCCGACAGCCTCTACTACACAACCTACGACGAAGCCGGCAACAAGGTGCTCATCCCCATTATCGATGCCTCCAGCGGCAACATCGCCCGCGATCTCGCCAATCTGAGCGACAGCTCCACCGCCCCCCGCTCTGAGCTTGAAGTCGCCCCGGCCAAGTCCGTCAAGCGCCAGAGGTCTGGCTGTGGCACCCGCTACAACCTCGCCCATGGCGACTGCGACCTCGCGTACGAGAGACTCAAGGATACCTGCGGCAATGGTATTGTTATCGGTAGGAACAGTGCTATTTCTGCCGTTGCAGGCAGTGTCGTTTCGTACATGTGTACTTATAGCAACCGTGATGGTGTTTGATGAGTGATAATTATCTCGAGCGCTCATGATTGAGAAATGCTGACGAGGAATTTTAGCACCCGCGACGATATCGCCGTCGGTGCTGACGAGGTGACCAGGTTTGTGCGGCTGGTATGTCAGTGGGTATTGGCGGAAGGGGAACACCAACCTTGTGTATGGCCGCCAGCCGAGCGGTACTTGCTTTTGCCATTGCTAAGCATGGATGGACTTTGGCGAGTTGTCGAGTTGGCGAGGGGAGGGCATCGGGAAGGGAGATGAGTAGACAGGGAAATTGGGAGCAAAGAATGAGACTGTGAATGAGCCCTCCATGCAGAAGGGTATTGTCAGCCACACGGGGCGTTGTTAGAGAATGATGGTATGGGTGTTGAGTTCAAGTCGAGCAACTTTCAACCAGGGCGGTCGCGGTCGCGGGCTATTAGGTGTTACATAACTTAGCAATAGACCCTCATGGCATCACAAAGCAGCATGTGTCTGCATACCTCAAGTACAGAAAGCCTTCTCTAGGGTCACTTCGGCCAGCCTGCTGTGTGTAAAGCCTGAGACATATCGCCTCGAGATCTGAACCCCTGAACCCCTAAACCCCTAAACCCCTGAGCCCTTGATTACGCAGGTACCAAAACCGTTAGTTCCTACATTTTTGAGACCCACTGATGGCCCTTTCGTTCGCCACCTACTTTCCATCAGCCTTTCGAAGGCTTTTAGTCGTTTTTAAAATTAGAGTGGGACTCAGCTTGCCGCCAGGGCGTTTGATGAGGTTGAACGCAACCGCCTTGTATGACTTTCACCGAGCTATAAGTCAGGCTCCGAACATTTTCGGCCAGGCCTTATGGCGAGTGACCTGCTTTGCCAGTAGCTGTTTACAAGCACGCGCGCTTACTGAAGGTGGCGTTGCGTGCTGACAGATTTGCAGTTTTCTCTCCCAAAGCAGGCTACCAATCAGGTCAGATCTGTACTGTGGCTGCCGCAAACTTTCAACTGCAGTTGTGCCATGATGCGATAGGCACCTTAAATGACCGTGAGGCTAGGGTGGCGTGTCTCTGTTATTGGTTGTATCAGAGCGCTGGTCAGTCGCAGATATTGGAGTTGGGCCTTGGGGGCGACCACAGCGTCTATGTCGGCGATCAGGAAAGAATCAGGACAGGTGCTGACATCTTGCGGCCAGTGTAGATAGTAGCATGAAGAATTACCATGGACAGGTATAAAGGGACGGCCCCGAATCACCTACCTACCTAGTAACTATCTTCTCAAACTCAGCCATCACACTCAGCAGTTTTCTCTCAACTCTACCAATAACCTCAACACTCCAACCGAGAAACACGAATATCACAATCTTCAAAGTCAACCCAGCAAAATGATTGCCATCAAGTCCATCCTTGCTCTCCTTGCCCTCGGCACTGCCTCTGTTCTTGCAGCTCCTGCTGCAAGCATCAAGTTCTCGCCTCGTCAGGGTAACGAGGTTTCCGTCTTTGCCTGTACCGAGGCACGCTTCACCGGAGAGTGTCGCATGATCCCGACACCGGCCGAACAGTGCTGTAAGTTAGGCTCACAAACTGAATATCAATTTTTATGGAGCTGACAGGGCCAAGTCAACATTGATCCGGCCTGGAACGACGTTATCAGCTCCATCCAGAATCTTGAGAGAGACAGGTTCAAGTGCAAGTGGTTTGAGTAAGTGGCTCTTGACAACCTAGAAGGGAATGTTTGCGTGTACTGACAAGTGAGTCGAACAGGCACCAGAACTGCGAAGGAAAGGAGTACAAGAACCAGGATGATGCCGATTTGACGGATGGGAACGGCTTTTTCGATGATCGCATTACTTCTTGGTTTTGCGAGAGGAAGTGATGCCCGAGGGGAGAGATATCATGACTGATGGCTGGCCATCATGTGCTAGGTCGAGTGTCGACAATATGGGAGTTTCATGTTTGGTTTTGTTATTATTGTGTAAGATTAGTACCTAGATACCTACACACGCTCGTTACATGTTTCTTTGTCTTGTAACCCGAATTTGTTTGCATGAAAAAGGACTTCAAAACATACAAGTCATCTATCCCGAAGTTGAGATTCTCTTGACCGGCTGGCTTCCGTTTGGGGGTAGGTAGCTCTCTGCCAACTTCATTGTGCTAATTGAAGGGCGGGGTCTCAGAAGCGTCCAACTCTTGGGACTACCTAGGTACCTACTCCCGTTACCTGTAATGGAGGTTCACAACACCAACCAAGTTGGTAACTTGTCACTTTGAAACCGGTGCTCCATCAGCTTAAAGATCCTTCATGCAACTTGAGTTTCCATGCACCAGCCCTGCGATAGGAAAACGTCGGGAGCCGTTGTCATGTCGGCTACGGGCTGTTGACGACCGCTATTGCCGACAGCCGGACCGCACCACATCCCTTTGCACCTCTTGTTTGCATCGGTGTTAACCAGCTATGTAGTGGCTCTTCGACTGGGTCGTCGGCTACGCAACCCCCTACCTCGTCAACTACGGACCAGGCCAATACGTCAACTTCCTGAGCAAGAATTTTTCGTTTGGTTAGCCGCCTGTTTTCTGTGTATCGCATTTGTTTACTTCTCTGTCTACGGGACAGAAGGTCTGTCATCGGAAGAGGTTGACGAGACGTACAGCCAGACTTCTCCAAACGTTTTTGCTTGGTGAAGCAAAGGGTCAGTACAATCGGGGAGCAAGGGTGACGCGCTTTCCGGTTAGTCCGGGGGAAGGTCGACTCTCAGTAGTGGGGTGAGTGTCAGTGAGCAGAGTGTGGTGGCTCCGGCTGTGACTCGAGCTGCAGGTCCGCATGAACGAGGAACGGGGTTAGTGCCTGTGCAGAGATCGATTCGTTGGTCAGTGCCAGTGCTGGGGCCTGGGCAGATTAACACGAGAGACGCTGGAGAGACCGGGGAGGGCTGGAAGAATGGTGTTTATTGAGGAGTCTCACCATGAGTAAGGCGGATCTGGTGAAAGGGCAGGGGGCTCACGGATGATGCTACGATAATGTCACATGTGAATATATTGCAAAATTACCTTGCATAGAGCGAACGGCGTTGGATATGGCAAGTTTAAAGCCTTTGTTGATTTTCGGAGAAAACGATGATCTTTCAGGGGTATGAATAGGGGTACCCTAACCCTTGGCAGTCCCCTCTATCTAATGCTTTTAGGCCAAGAAACGTGTGGTTGCAGCCATCAGCCTCCAATTTTTTGATTGCATGGGAATCTTCGATAGGATACTATATACCCAAAAGATTGATTAAGGGGCGTATTAATCACGCAATACGGGAACCGGTAGGTCGGGTCTGCTCGATCCGCGCTTGTCTATCTCCATGAGCCGCTCCCACCACACTAAAAGATGGTGCAGATGTCTTGGATGGTATCAGTGCATCAAAGTATCAGATTATGCTGTTTCGTCCACGACCATCGCATACCCTTCCCATTGTCTTTTAACCTTATCTAGCTGAAGTCAGACCTGCGCCCCTGATGGCAAGAGATGAGGTAGAACACGAGAATCCATTCGAGAACCTTCTCAGCGCTCAGGCTTCGGGTCAATGCGATTCGAGAGACAAAAACTCCGATTCGTGCTGTTAGACGGATGTCAGGTGCCATCTTGCCGAACAGCACCGGCGGCCCAGGTAATAACAAGGCCGATCAGCACACCCGAATCTGATTTCCCCAAGAGCACAAGCCCGGGACAAGATGCCCAACGGGGCGCTTCCCCGCATTCCAGCTTGGGGAAGTTCGGTCGACTACGATCCGGGGTTACATTCTGGGCTTCTTTCGGCTGCGCAGCCCTGGGCCGCTCTTGGCAAGACGCTGTATCGATCGGCTACAACCCTGGCCCACCCTATGGTTCTTGCTGCAAGGCACGACCGTTTGCTCTCAGGCACGAATAGAGTTGCCGGCTTGGACTGTCAACCAGGCCAAGTTCGCGGCCGGAAGCCCGGGGCCGTCGCTCCGGTTATTTTCTTGTCCCGTGTCGCCCCCGGCTCGGTTCGAAATAGCGGCGGCAATTCTTTATGGGAAATCTCCACAATGCGGAGGAGGACCAGAAGGTGATCATGACGGTGAGGTCAGAAGGGGACATGGATGGAGCCTACCCTCCGAGCCGAAGGCAAAGTGACAGTAGCACCAAGCATTGGCAGCAACCACCAGAGGAATGCATACTTAACCGACGCGATCCCTCTCTTCGGTTCCCTTCCCCTCTCCTTTGTCGTCACGGTTCCTCACTACTCCAGTGTCATCACCAACCGCCACCATGTCCTCCCTCGCCACTCTTCTCACGGCCGGTCTCACCCTCAGCGGGTTGGCTGTTGCCCAAAAGCCCGGTCCCACCAAGGAGGTGCACCCCAAGATCACCACCTACCGCTGCAGCAAGAAGCACGGCTGCAAGCCCCAGACCAACTACATCGTCCTCGACTCGCTTGCTCACCCCGTCTACCAGGCTGCTGCTCCTCAGTATGGCTGCGGTGACTGGGGCCAGAAGCCCAACGCCACCGCCTGCCCTACCAAGGAGGCCTGCGCGAAAAACTGCATCATGGACGGTGTCTCCGACTACTCGGCCTACGGTGTCACGACCAATGAGACGGCCCTGACTCTCGAGCACATTCTCCCCAACGGAAAGTTTGTCAGCCCAAGAGTCTACCTTTTGGACAAGACCAAGCAGAAGTATGAGATGCTCAAGCTCACCGGCAACGAGTTCACCTTCGACGTCGACGCCACCCGCCTTCCTTGCGGCATGAACTCTGCTCTGTACCTGAGCGAGATGCCCGCCGATGGCAACAAGAGCAAGCTCAACAAGGGCGGTGCTTACTACGGCACTGGTTACTGCGACGCTCAGTGCTTTACCACCCCCTTCATTGGTGGTGAGGTATGTTGATTTCCATGTTATCATTTGGTTTTCATCGTAGGGAGGTTTACTAACGCGATTGCGGCGAAATAGGGCAACATCGAAGGCAAGGGCTCCTGCTGCAACGAGATGGACATTTGGGAGGCCAACTCCCGCGCCACCCACGTCGCGCCCCACACGTGCAACAAGCCCGGCCTCTACCTCTGCGAAGGCGAGGAGTGCGGCGGCACCAAGGCCGGTGTCTGCGACAAGCCCGGCTGCGGGTGGAACCCCTACCGCGTCAACGTGACCGACTACTACGGCAACTCGGACGAGTTCAAGGTCGACACCCGCCGCCCTTTCACCGTCATCACCCAGTTCCCCGCCGACAAGAACGGCAAGCTCACCTCCATCAAGAGGTTCTATCAGCAAGATGGCAAGACCATTGAGACCTACTCGGTTGACGTCGATGGTCTCCCCAAGGTCGACGGTTTGAACGACGAGTTCTGCGCCGCTACTGGTGCCGAGAGGTTCCTCGAGCTGGGCGCCCACAAGGGCATGGGCGAGGCGATGACGAGGGGTATGGTTCTTGCTATGAGCATCTGGTGGGACGAGGGCGGCTTCATGAACTGGCTCGACAGCGGCGAGGCTGGGCCGTGCGCACCTACTGATGGTGACCCGAAGAATATTGTCAAGGTTGAGCCCTTCCCCGTTGTCACTTATGACAACATGAGGTGGGGTGAGATTGGCTCTACATTCAAGGTTGAGAAGGAAGGCAAGGGCAAGGGCAAGGGCAAGCACAGACGCTCGATTCAGTAGGCGATGTCCAGTGTCGAGGGAGGAGAGGTAGATAGGAAGACAAAAGCATAGCCCACGGAGGGTCGAGTACATAATGTAGTACCATGTTCAAATATGCATTCTTTATGGATTATTAGACCATCAACACATCGCTTTTGAGATATTTGCCATTGGGATATGGCTGTGCATTGCATTCGGTGACGCTGACTGTGGGAAAATTGATATCTCGGCTCGTGATCCATATATGTGGAAGAATAGTAGCATTGCGCTGATGGTATGACCGTAGACTTGCCCCTTTCAATCTCGAACAGGAGAACTTGCGCACCGGGGTTAGTTTCAGGAGACATTATATGATCTTCCAGAGGCTAACTATCTAGCGCTAAGTCAGGAACCGCTTACCCCTACAGCGCGAATCTTCTGATCTTCGGTAAGCACCAGGTGCATGATACTTACCTGCAATGGGTGCATTTGCTACGAGACTGGGGATTTACGCCTGCTCGTTCAGCCTCGTGTTAGCACTCATGGCAGGCCTTATGAACCACACGTCGTGGCGAGCGAGGAGTTTAGCCGAGTATCACGACTCACTGGAAGCATGGTTCCAGGTTGTCAGCGTCACAACAGGACCATGACTGCTGTTGGCGGTAGCTTCATCACGAGGATAGTGAGCAACAGATTACGTGAGTTCAATGGCGATGGAACATGGCTACGGTCGAGTGATATGGTTCCACTGCCCGTCAAGAAGCCCTCATCTCTGGATCAGAGCGAGCAGTGTGTATATAAGGACACGTCATCGCTTTTAAACATTACTCTCTCATCACCAACTCATTCACCATCACCACCACTAGCCAAACAACCTAACCCAACACCACCAAGATGCCTTTCACCTGGTACCGAGGCCCAGTCTCCAACTCCCCCCCCCATGGGCCAGTGGAAGCCTTTTGAAGAAATCTTCAACCTCGACAAGCCCGAAATGTTCCAAACTGGCAACACCGGCGAGGATATCGGCCCTATCTGGAACTCCGTCCTCGAGTGCGCCAAGATCGGCGTCGACGAGCGCGTCATCTTCTGCATCATCATGCAAGAGTCCAGCGGCGACGTCGGTGTCCGAACCACGTGGAACATGGATGAAGTGGTGACTGCCGGGCTGATGCAGGCTTCTGGCAGTCCTGGGTATCCCGGGTAGCATGGTCTTACGCAGGTATGTGGAGACTTTCGACGAAAGAGGGAGAATCTACCTACACTGACAAGTTGGTGGTAGTATCAAATTACTGGCATGGTCTGCCATGGAACGGAGCACTACAAGCGAAATTTGAGGGAGTTTGGAAACCAGCGGAATGCGGATACTATTTACAAGGCTTTGAGATGCTTATAATTCGGGGAGGGTGAACCAGGGGAATTTGAGTCATGGGTTGGGAGCTACCGCGGCGTATGTAAGTGTTATGGCGAACCGTCTTTGTGGTCGTCTATCTTGAGTGCCGCCTGGGGAACAACGACACGGGGGCGGAGGACCTCAAGTTGGTTTGGTTTGGATTCGTAATTAAATTTACACATTTCCGGGCAGAAGAGTATATTTTGATTTGTTTTCCGCGGTTTTTATTTCTATTAACCTCGTTCTCTAATCTGTTCGACACTGGAACATCATGCTGTGAAACGAGAGGTTCTTGTTTGGTGGGATATGTGGTGTGTGAAAATTTGCCCAATCCAACTGCAGAAGGAAGGCGGAATCAGGTGGACATTCCAAATGATGGGAAGTGGCGGCGTACTATGATCAATGGATGTGTCAAATCCATCTGAATATCCCTTATGACTTTGCTCCCAGAAGTGGAAAGCCCTGTTTGTCGGAGACTTCTCAAGACCCACTCAGACTTGCTTTGATGGCGTTGGAAATGTTGCAACTCCCGTTGTTTTAAAGTCAGAAAGTAGACACTAGTCAAACCACATATTTTTACGCACACTTTCCTCTATTTTCTCCTTACCTCCTCCGTGCCCCTTTTTTCATTAGTGTCCCAAGGCCAGCTGATTACCACGCCGCTACACGATTAATATGTGCATATCAGCCATGCTCGCCGGCTTCATGTCGGCAGTCCAAGTGCGATCCAGCCTGCCAGCTCCCTTGTAAATGGGCCGACTTGTTCCACCTCGGCGATCCGGTATTGGAATTCTTTGTCAACCTTCCGCCGCTCTCCCATCACTATCCAAAGGGGCTGGTAAGCGACTGGAAGTTAGAAACGGCGGACCACTACCGGGTGTGCGGAGCCGCTGTATGCTTCCTGGAATCCAGCGACGAAAGACCAAGCGCCGACAGAGAGCTCTCAAATATGCTTCAGAGGATGGGAGATCATCTTTCGGGTGCGTACGAGAGAGAAATAACGCTCTATCTTGTTCAGCACCCCAGGATGGAGGTTGACAAACGGCCCGAGGCGCGTGCGAAAGAAGCCTCCATCAAATACTACCGTTGGCTGGCGAGAGGACGCAGAGATGCGGAGACACCGTGGATGTTCAAGATTGCCGCAAAGAGTGTGGATACGAAGAACTCTTGGCATGGACTGGAGGCAGACGGTAAGACAATATTAAGTTCCTAAAGTTTGGTGGTGTTGGACTTAAAAACTGATCAGGTATAGGTATCGTATACAGGGTTGCTCAAGATGGATCATGAAAATCCGGAAGTCAAGAAGCTTTACCGGGCCTTTTTCATGTATGAAGAGGAATTTGAGATGTTCCTGGTGAATGTATACGGGGCGCGCAGATGCAAAAAGCATACGTCGACGACACTCTAGCCTTCGCCGAGGTGTCCGAGGTCAACGGAGTACTGTTGGTTAATCTCACGAGCAAACAACCGCTCATTTGCGGCATGCTGAGAAGATCGACCAGAAGAGCGATGCTGATGCACATGCGCTGCGAGATGCCTGCAGGCGAGGGTTGGCCTTTGTGAAAGTTATTCCTCGAGCGCGAGTTATCCCTTTACCAACCACGTCATGATTGGAAAGCTAAACTTTAATGGTGTTTTAGCCGTTTGCAAGAAGATCAAATTCCTGCGAGCAACCACACGAAACGTGGCAAGACCGATCCTCTGCCGCCATCCTGAAGAAGAAACGCTCAACACCAATGTCACGCACTGTGTGATGTTGGTGGAGCTCAAGTACGGGTTGAAGTACATCCTTGACCCAACAGGAGCTCAGTATGGGTGGACCGAGACTATACTTCCATCTCAAACTTTCAAGCAATACCGCATGACGAAACATACCCATCATTCAGGCCCCTCTGATGATCGCTCCGTATATTGGGACGAACGGCTCCATGACATCACAACGCAAACCTCATCGGAATTTCAGCAACAATATGGTCAAGACATCCCGACGATTCTTGGGCCCCCAGACCATTAGAAGTTTCTAGAGAATCACGCTTTGTTCCTGGGGGAGATGGAGCGCACCATGAAGACACCGCCAACGCCATGAAGCTTCTGTGAGGCTGATCATGAACCCAAAGTAGGTTCTAGACTGTGGGGATATGGGGGATAGTGAAGTGATCACGCTTTCCTCTCCCCATGTTTCGCGGTGTCGAGCCTTCATGTAAAATGTTCATTCAAAACCTTCACGGCTTGACGAAAATCAAAAAGAAATACCTGGGACGAAAGATACACGGCAATCAGATCCCGCGTAATCCGCAAGGGGTGGTTGCCCAGGGGGGTTTTGGGCTCAGGAGCCCTAAGACTTGGTCCGTCTAGAAACAAGAGATACGCAATACAAGTTCTATCATAAATTCAGTCGAACAATGGGAAACCATAATTCAAATACTTTTTGGTGTTGATATATGTGGCAGGCAGTCTCTTTCTCATCTTATCGGACGCTTGGACGACAAACAAGCTGCCAAGGGTACCAGACCGGGCTATAAGGGGGAACGATCATGTTCTCACTCGGAGAAATCACTGTGTACCGTAGCTTCTCTAGCGTAGAAAAAAGGAACTTTCTTCATGTCGCATTATCGGGCGTATGCGAAGCCACGCTTCCGGAGTGGCGCATCTTGACCCCAGTACTTCTCGCTTGCTCCCAGTGGGAGCAGCGGTTCAGTGAATCCTTCAGACTTTGCCCCACCTACAAACACACTTTAAGGCGTCGACCTCGCGACGAAGTTCCGCATACGACGTATCCAATAGATGGCTCCCGTTGAGGAAGACAAGCTTTGCAATACGAGAGGGACATCGCATATGACGGGAGTCCGAAGTTGCCAAGTCGATACCTTTAAGTTAGCAGTATGATTGTGGTTGTCGGTTAATGAATGTTTCTGTGCGAGTACGGCGCAGATGGCTCGACTGAATCTTAGAGGGAAACATGCTGGCTGTCACTACGCTGCTTCGGTCACCGAAAGTAAATACAAACTACCACCACATTACTAAACTTTCGCACATTCTCAAGACACGGCCTCAGGGGAGTAGGCGAAGTGTTGAAACACCCTCACGACGATGGTTGGCTGTATCGTATCGCCGGGGTTCCAGACCGCCTCTAGGTATTCTGGCGCTAGATGGTGATGCAGCTGGATAGTGCCGTTGACAATCTCTTCCCGCATTTCCTGCCAGCATGAAGCGTTCGTTGATGCATCTGTCTCGCTCCTCGTTCATGAGTAGCCACCTATCACCACTGCTCTTCTGACATTCGAGATCTCTCGAATTTTGACATTTAACCGATTTCAATTTAGATTCAACTGCCATTCGTGTGGAAAAGATTACTGTCTTCGCCGGCATCCTCATCGCACCACTTCCAGCTATCAAGCACTCACGTCCTATTGCCAGCGGGTAGGTAAATACGTGACGACTGCACTGCGTCCCATAGCTTAAAGCAACGTACCTACCTTAGATGCTTCAAGGTTATCCCACGGCAACATCCCATTAGAGCTGGTTCAGTCACGTCCGGCGAGTTAGACCACAGACCCATGGTAAAGGATTCGTGATCCTGCAACTGCGACCCTGTGAATAGCGCCCTTCATGGTCTCGACAATTCTATTTGTCCACGTAGGGTTTACACCTGGTCGCAATCAACATGCTACCTGACTACTTTTGCGACCGAGATGGCCTGGCATTTTCCTTGCAAAGCGGTTCGCGGCTGTTCAAGCCGAGAAACAGGCCGTATTGCTGGATTGAGGTTCTGAACTATCAAAATTCGTTGTTAGCTGTATTTGCCAGGTTTTTGCGAGGTCCTAACTAGAAAACTGCTGTTTGACTAGTAGTGCGCCAGGAAGGGGGCTTTGCAGATAGATGCCCGTTTGTTCAGAAGTATTAGCTGGATTGTACGATGTCTGCACACACCCTCTGGACGGTCAACCTCTTTCACCAAGGTACTCAGGACTATCTGGCCGCCACTCCGGACAAGACCTGTGGCGGCAAGGGTGGCTACGGTGCCAGGTCTCCACCGGACCGGGGAGTCAAGGACTGATGACCTAGCGGCAGAAAGTAATCATGATTCCATCAACAGCTTTTGCCGTTCGAAGGATTCTAGAGCCTAGACAGACTGATCTTGGACATGCGAGATCATGCCACAGCGCCATTGTTGAACGGTGGCCGGGGTTATCGTCGGTCAGACATGCGTGATTCTGGGATATAAAGAGTCGAGTCTCGACGTCTTTCCTCCTTTCTTTTGAGCAGCAGCCGCAGCAGCATCTTACCTCGCTCACCTCGACACTCCGCCACCTACCACTCTCAGATTCAGCCTTCTGTGCTCCACAAGTGAGTATTCCTGACTTGCATCGGCCTCAAACCCGCTCTGACTGATCACCGCAACCCCCTTTCTAGTCAAAATGAAGTTCACCCTCGCAGCCGCAGCTTTTGCATTCCTAGCCAGCGCCGCCGACGCCGCCACCGCCAAGATCACCACCAGCTGGATCGTCAACGCCGGCCTTCTTCCCGTCACGACGTGTTATTATCATGGCGAGGACGGCAAGACCTACTTCATGGGCGACTTCAGCGATGGCTGCCGCGGCACCAAGCACGATTGGGTTCGCCAGATCTGCGTAGACTCATCAAAGGCTAGGGCGCACATCACCTTTTCCGGCGGCACCAGGAGGTGCTTCAAGCAGACTTGGAGGAGCTCAGAGTGCGTCGGAACGGGACCTGAGTCCTGCTACAAGGGCATCTGCCCCACGTGCTCCAGGGCCGAATACACCCCGACTTCGTGCACCTGGTGAGAGCTGAAGGCAGTCGAACCGGTTTACCATCCAGGAGAAGCTCGGTTGTCTTGGTTGGTTGAGACTTCTCAGGCAGCCTGCCATGTATCCGATATTCAATTGAGGCTTTTGTTTTGAAGTTTTTATTTCCATTCATTCTTTCATGAGGAACTGGTTTAGTGGTAATAGGTGACTTGGAAAATATGGGGGTTCAACAAGATTCCATAGCTCAATTCATAATGATCTTCGTTGGCTTCTTGCGTCCTTGATGCTTTTGTGAATGATTCTCGTCATTCCCCCTTGCCTTATGCCGCATCAACGAGCTTGCCGGATGAATTGTTTATATGCACTCCCTAGCACGGTGATGCCGCTCTAACGATGAATATACCTGTAGGCTAAACGCGATAACATAAGCGAGCAAGATAAGGCTTTGATTATCTGTATTTTCAACATCTCGATCCTTTGTCCATGGAACGGCGTCTGTTTATCATCAAATTCAGCATACCAACTAAACATGACCTACCGTGACATACCATGCGACTTCCCCCTCGACGAGCTCAGCTCTGACTCCGAGCTCGGTAATCTTGGAAATCCCTTGACCAGGCGAAAATTACATCCCGCCGATGAAAACGTCGGCCCTGAGCATGCAAAACGTTTGAGGGCACTGTGGGATCCTCAGCCGCTGGACAACCTGCCAAAGAAGGACCTGGATAGGATTGATGCGGAGAATACTTTCATGAGGTCCCAACTGGAGATTGCCGTCAAGTTCATTTAAGAGAATCACAAGAGTCAAGGATGAGTAACCTGACCTAGTCCTTCAAATAGCGAATAAGCAATCTCCGTGGAATGAGATAATAACTGACTTTTGCAATTTTTTTAGACCTTCCACCAGCCATTAAAGCTCTTGTTCAGTCACGTCAAAAGTCAGCAAAGGCCACAGCCGACGAGTTGAAAAACCGCATCGAGCATGTCTATAGCGAGCGCTACACTGGTCCGGGCAGTCCATTCAACCCAGCCAGCCATGTTGCAGTTCCTGGATTCAATCAGAAAAATGCTGGATCTAAACGATGCCCACGCCGCAAAAGAAGCCTATAAATGCGTTGTCTTCCCAAGCAGCCGATGGTATGATCGAAATTCCGACCACCAGTACGAATCCGGTTACTCAAGTGACGACTTTTACGACGATGAAGACGATTTCGATTCTGAAAGCGAAACTGACGAGGGTGAAGCGAATAGTCCCTAGGTTGCCCGCCTAAAGTATATTGTCGACGATAATGAGTACATCCGTGCAAAGTTCCCGATCAAGGAGCATGATAATCTGCTTGACAAGCTTTTTGTTGATGTGATCAAGAAGAGAACGGAGGATGGGAAGCGGTGGAGTTGGGGGTATAAGTTGTGTGATTTGAATAAAGAAGCGGACGATCTCCTTTCAGAAATTGGTGTTGAGCACTGGTTTCCAAAATCACGAGAGTTGTTGCAGAAGATTGAGGAAGCGAACCCAAAGAAGGAGATGGCAGTATATGAGCCGTCAAAGAGGAAGAAACGGGCATATCAGGAAGACTGAGGCGAACGTCGTCCAAAGCACCACGCAGATTGGGTATCAGGAATCGGCGCTTATAGTAACTTGAACCTCTAGATCAATGCAAAAGAGATGGTTTGAGCATTTCAATCTATTTTTATTCGAATTGACCCCCTTTGTGGAGGCTTCATCAAGGTTTTGAAGGCTTTCTGGTTCTAGTTTTTTTTAAAAACCTTTTCTTGGATACGGCATGGGGCTGACACAATGTCAAGGCTTAAAAGGCGTACAGAAAACTGCTCGGTTTTTATTTCTTTCTTAGCTTACAATTCGGTTCTCAGCGTCAAGTTACCTTATACTCCGCCTCGACCGGGGAACACCGAGCCACCCACTGTGCCCACTATTGTGCGAAAAACAACCATTCAGACGAGTCGTCACCACATTGTTTTCACCGCCAACCTTCTTTGAGTTTTATCATCTAAATTGGCGATTCCTACCACCTAATCCAACCCCTCAGTGATCAGCAACACCAAATCAGATAAGATTTCTCTACAGGAAATGGACCAAGAGTAGTTAGTTGCCCAGGTGGTCTTGGGCTCAGGAGCCCAAACACGTCAGTGTAGGAACAACGAACACGCAATACAAGTTATATCCAAAGTTCAGTCCAACAATGGGAAACTATGATTTAAATATCATTTTAGTATACATAGATAAATACAGATTAATACCGCACCCGGGCTTTAATATCTCCTTGATAAAGTATTGGATAGGTAATCCAGGGGAGATTTATGCGATGTACACAGCAGCTCTTATCCAACAATATATTTCCGGCTCCACTAAAAGTAAGGTAGCCGCTACCTACTTGCATCTCTACATTCTCAAAGTCAACCTATATGCTAGAAAGAAAGAACGGTGATATGCAGACCACCAAGAGATCAGGAAAACATATTCCTCAAAAGAATGAACGGCTCATAATCGAAACTCCCCTTGTTCCACTCCTTAAATCACCTCTGTCATCTTCTGTCTTCAGTGTTTACTGCTGCTCAGCCACCTCCACAGCCCCAGAGCCGCCAGCTGCTGTGCGGAACTGTCTGGTGTTGCAACGCCAGGAGCTGATGCGGTCGCTGAAGAAGCCGTTGCCATCGTGAAGATTGGCATCCTCCTGGTTACCGTAAGAGCGGCCTCCGCAGTTGGAGTGTCTTTGAACGGAAATGTTAGCGTTACTACAAAGATACAAGAAAAAGAACGGTGATGGTAATACTTACTCATACCAGACACAGTGGAAGCGGCTCTTGTCAAGGTTGCGGATGGAGCTGATGCGGTCATTGTAGCTGCCGGGGACATTGACTGGGTGGTGGTTGGGTTAGGTTTCTAGCTTTTCGGGTTGAATCAGGCTGGTAATGTATCTTACAGCATGAACCGGGGTTGGATCCAAAGGTTTGGCACGGGTTGCCCCAGCGAGCGTTCTAGCAGGCAAACACAAAGGCCGTGTTCTGACGAGCCGTGATGCTGCTGTCAGATGAGGTATCCACTGCAGGGGCAGCGGTGGCTGAGAGGACGCCCATGGCGATGAGGATGGTGGTCTTCAGGTTGAACATTTTGAAAGTGCGGAATGGTGGTATTGTATGTGCTAGGGTACTGGAGCGTCGTTCTTGATGCTGTGTGTGGTCGATGATGATGATGATGATGGAAACTTGAATGACGAGGAAAGGCTGCCACATTTATACTTCCTTTCAGCTCTGATCTAGCTACTTCGAATCCTTCAAGAACCGCACAATACTTGCACCTCACAGATGAATGACAAATCTCAGTATCATCACGAATCAAAACCATCATCATTGGCGATGATGCGTGGTAAAGTCTGCGCCTTGGATCATCATTCTCGGCTTCCCAGATAGGATAACCAAAGCCTTTTGGTAGGAACACTCTTGAGACATAAACACATGGTTGATTCACTTGCAGTTATTCAGCCATACAGCCTACGTTTTCGAATGAACAACAGACAGAGTTGAAGACAGACTTCAAGAAGGTTGATACTGGGACATGGGGAAACAAGCCCATGACGTATCCATGTATCTTGGTGTTGGTTACTAAACTTTGCATTATAGACCTCACACGAAACCGGAAAGACCACCACACGTTTGAGCCGTCTTTTACATGTCTTGGTACTGAATATCATGTGTATTGTAGGTAGACAGACAGACGGAGGTTTCTATCTGTTTGGTCGGTCTTACTCAAAGTGATCAAAGAGACCGATGTCTTGGTTTGTCACCCTTCATCGTGGCGTAGCTGACGGATTCTCCAATACTTTTTATCCTACAAACTAGAACCTTCCTACTTGTGTCTAGGTCTTATGTGCTGTCTCACAGCCTTGTGGCTCTGTGAGCTGGCGTCTGACAATGCGGCCCCCAATGATCTACAAATCACTGCATTTCGGCCCCTGGCATCCAGATCAACCACATCATGATGACCATTGAAGGAAGAACTCTGAAACATCATGTCATCAAAACAATTGTTGATTTATAGTAAGGGACCTTGGCTGCAATTAAGGGACTGGAATGTTTTTCTGTCAGCATGTCAAAATGAGCTCCTGGTGGAATGAAGATGTCGGGAACTTGTGGTTGTCGATCATGCACAAAGTCCTAGCAGAACGTGACATTGAGTGCTCACAAATCATCCCTTGTCTCCAATACCGCTTAGGATGTCTATTCTTCTCATGGATAGATGCGACTATCTCACGGTTATGCCAAGCACGAGAAGCAAAATCGCAGGTAAAAGTTGTCTTTACTGTCTGCCTCACCAAGCGAGGACTGGCTGACCTCTGCTAGCTATGTATGTTTTCTATCTACTAGACCAGATGTCCCCATACCACAGAAGTAGAGAACCCGCGCAGAGGTAAAATGAAGTAAAAAGAATGACCGTCCAAAAGGCGTACTGTGAACCGCCAGATCTCACAAGAAAAAAACATCTCCGAAATTCTGAACCATGAGTTGAATGTGAACGGTTGCTGATCACCAACACAGCTAGCTGAGTGCAAACCACGTTAGGCCTCGACCTCAGTGGCGTTCTCCGCCTCAGCAGTGCGGAACTGCTTGCGGTTGCAGCGCCAGGAGCTGATGCGGTCGTTCCAGAAACCGTTGCCGTCGTTAAGCTTGGCATCCTCCTGGTTGCTGTAGCTAGCACCCTGGCAGTCGTAATGCCTGAGATCATGTCAGTTGTCTAGAATAGTTAATGGGTTCTGGGGATCGAGATGAACTTACTCATACCACACGCACTGGAAGCGACCCTTGTCCTGGTTGCGGATGGCGCTGATGGAGTTGTCCCAGTCGCCGGGGATACCAACTAGAGAGATAATCTATGAGTATCACATACTTGGGGGGCATGTGGGTGGTCGAAAATGGGAAAGGAGCTTACTGCACTGGCCTGCAAGACCTTCGAGGAGGCGGCACGGCTGGCCCCAGTTGGTGTTCTGGCAAGCCCAGACATAGGCAGTGTCGTCGAGAGCGACAACGGTGTCGCTGTCGACGGCCGCGGGAGCAGCAGAGACAGAGACGCCGCCGAGGGCGAGAAGAGTGACGAGGGCCTTGATGCTGAACATTTTGACAAGAGTGGTAAGGACAAGTGATAGTTGTCTGGAGGCGGTTTCTTGAGTTGATGGAAGAGGTCTGCTGTCTTGCTGATGTCCGAAACTGGTGAAGAACTTGAATCTTGTTACGGGGCTAGATGGCCGCCTCTTATACTTTTCCCGCTCCCTCCTTCGTCTTTCAACGACTCGCCAAGGATAGTATTCTCCTCTCCAACTTCCAACCGCATCCAATCATGGCATCTGCTCACCACGCCCCCTCAACCTTCACCGAATGGTTACCTGACATGTATCACTACGTGCTTGTGATTCATTGAACGTGTTGGGTGCTCCGTGAGTAGCAACATGCAATCCAACCTCCCGTCTTAGTCATGAGACTTTGTTTACAAGAAAATTCTCTTCATCCGGGCAGTCACCACCAGACACTCGTATCGTGAATCATGAAACCATTTTGGGCTAGCCTATAATATCAACCTGCTTCACTTCAATCTCTATGCTGGCTACTCGTAGGTACGAACCCGATATGCTTGGCATTCTAAACCCTTCCCGCTTGCGGCTCGGTCCTCAACGCGAGTGACATGCCTACACCACCTGCAGTTCACCATCTGCAGTTGGCGATCATGGGTTACATCCCGACAGTTTCCGGGGATTTGTCGCTGCTTATAAGCATGACATTGAACAAAAAGCATTGCATGATCTACCTAACTCAACACAACCAACAGCCACGTTGGTAAGCTCAGACAAATTGTCTGCCGGCCACACCACTGCATGGAATGGGAATAAAACGGTTAAGATAAAGTTTCCGGCAGCATCTTGAGTCTGTTTTGGGAAATTCGTCTATCTCTATGAAGTGTAAAGAGGGAAGGTGACAATCAGGATGCAGGGGTAACCGGCTGAATTGCCTCACCATTGGTGTTGAGCTGGCATGGCAAGTTTCCAGCGGCTCAGCTGACAGGGTAAAGACGCCCACCAATCCAATTTACCTACAGGAATAAATCTGAACAAGAAAGATCACCGCATGTCGGGTACTTTCACCTTGAGAAGACATCGCCATGGAAGCTGATCGACGCTGTTTATTACCCAACACCTGTAGAGATATATAGCACCCGGCTTATTCTGTGGGTAGGATGTCCCTTGGTTCCACAACACGCGTGTAGCATAGCATCAACCAACTTGACATCCGTTGGCTGCTACTCCCCTTGCTGTCTAGGACACAGGCCATGGATGAACCCCTGAGACATTACCTTCCTGAATAAGATGAGGCTAGAGGCGGTCAGCACCTCATCAGTAATGAAGCCCCGCGGTGACGATAGGATCGCAGCATCCAATTTTAGTATCATGTTATGACCTGTTGTTAAACAGAGGCTGACACGGAAAAAGGCTTAGCTGGTTTAGGTCCCGAACGTAGTGATGTAGGAAGACGATAGGAAGTTAACCTACATGTTCTTGTGCGCGTATCGTTGTTCGTAACGATGCATACCCAGTGTTGCGGACTCTCCAGCACCGATACACGGAGACTGCCTGGCACCTTCCTCACCCCTTCAATAAAGCCATTTGCAGGTATTCACTGCCTGTTTCCTTTCTCGTTAAACCTTGTGCCGTAGGATTTGTTGTGGAGTGATTGGGCATGGATTTACAGTAAACGGCCACTTTTGAACTTGTTGGTCACATCATGCGTGCCGGGAGCTCCATGAGACGTTGCTCACTTAGCGACCATATCGTCTTGTTTGCGGTCAAAGACCAGGGTCAAGAGTGCCTTGCTAGTCTAGACTGAAGTTTATTAGATGGCGTAGGGGTCAGGGAAGGCCCGATCGGGCTCCATTGTCCCGAATCCCGATGCCAATGATTGCTTTGGCTTCCTCAAGTACATGTGGTAAGAAGTGAAAGCCTTGCAGGCCTGTTTCTTTTCAACTTCCTTTGGAGCCTTCTCCTCCTACGTTTGGGATCCGTCCTCTCACCAACACTCGCCTGATGTCGCGGGAAGGTAGACCAGTGTAATATATACGTCTTCTCATTAATTGCTACACTCTTGTGAGATGCCTGTAGCTAATATTGTTCGCACTAATGGTATACACCTATGTGATCGAACAGGTTGATGTGTTTATACTTGATTCCATATTTGTGTTAAAGTGGTGTGAAAACAATGGGGGTAGATGGGAAGATGATACTGAACACCAATGGTCAAGCCCTTGATCAATAGGTTCCTACCTACCTAGGAACAACCTTATCATTGTCACTTCCGGTTGCCACTTACAAAACCAAAGGTTTGGGTGTCGGACCACACCTTTTGTCAAGCATCCCACAGCTTGATCCTCCGGCAGAGGCGCTGTTCCTGCTGGCTTGGGGAGAGTGCCAGTTAATTTCCTGGTTCACAAGCGGACGATACGGGTGATGGGTTCTTCCACTGACGGCATCGTATCTGATTTCCTGTGTTCTGGAACCGATTGGAAACAGATGGCATGGAGGTTTGTTTGAAGAAATGCTGCTGGAAGCCATAATATTGGATGCAGACAAGAGTGGTGTAACACCACGAACTCAGGCGACTGAGAGAGATGCCCAGTCCTGCACCGATTGTAGGTCGCGATCATCACAATCAACAGGAAAGTGAGGCTGCCTGCAGATTCTAGGCCTGTACAATCGATGACCAAAGGCCAGTTCGCCATGCGGCTACGACTTTTAAGAGAAATTCTAGGGGGGCATTACCGTTTTTCAAGGGGGTCCATTACAGTTTTTTCTAGGGGGCATTACCGCCGATATGGTTAGGGTTATATATAGTCCCTCACTTGCCTTGTAGATTATCAACCACATTATCAACCACATCAACGCTCACACCCTTGTAATTGAGACCTTTGCGGAAGGCCTGGCAATTCAAGCCCTGGCAATGGAAGCCCTGGCAATTGAAGCGCTCTGTGAGGTATTGTGAAGTTAGAGGCCTGCATCGGCGCGTGGGCATCAGGCATCAACACCACGGCAGTACATTAACCCAATACTTCCAAATATAAATATACACTGTAATTTTTATGGTAAAAAATACAGTGTAATATTGGCGATAATGGAAATAAACGGGTGTAATGGGAAAGGTGCGTTGTAGAAGAGGGGGTAATTTGCCCCTAGAAAAAGGGCAATGCCCCCCCTACAATTTCTCGCTTTTAAAGTCTCGTCCTCCCGCCATTACTTACAATCCGACTTTTCCTGGTGCAGGCCCATTCTCAAACTACACCCGATGTGTCCTGGGTTACCATGACTGGCGTTTCAGCTCTGCTGGGGTCAAACCCCAAAAACTATAGCTTTATTTTAGATGGTCCGGGAGACATAGAAAAGATGACCGGAGTTGTCACCGATCTTGCAACCGACCGAAGTTTAACCCAGCACTTGAATGCCAAGTTTGGCGCCGCTCTCTGCACCGCTATCATCGATCAGGTCCTCAAATCAAGCCTCGCACGATCCGCAACCCTCCTGATCGAGAAAGGAATTTATGTCATCTAAACATGCTCGCCCGTCTTCCAAAAGCTCATCCACGGCATCGCCAAAACTTCGTTAAACAAACCAATTTTCGGTGCCACAGCGGTCAAACATGTGTCGAGGATCTTCCGGAGCCATGCTATCGCGAATGCTGGCGTGTGGACGGTGATGAGTGGTTGGCGTCTGTTCAAGCATTGGGGGAGATGGAACACCTGGGAAGAGACGAAGAAAACGATCTTTAAGGACGGCACGGCCCATGGACGCGCTATGTTTGGGTGGATACTCGGATCTGTCGTTATGGGTGCATTTGGAATTTCTGCCTTTCCGGCTGCCGTGGGAGCGTTCGTCTTCGCCCTTGGAGGCCGCGAGATTGGTAAGATGCTTAGCGATATGATCATTGGGGACAGTTCGAGTGATGGGGATCATGGGGAGAAAGCGGGGGATGGTGGAGAGAAAGGGAGCTAATGATGTTGAACATGGCGAGGATCGGGGAAGGAGACGCTGACAGTTACTGTGTTCTCCCCGGTCAAGGCAAATGTATTGCCGCTTTTGGAATTGGGTGGGGTGTATAGTTAGGAGCAACACCACTGCCTCTTCCACCCTACCCCCCTGTCAATTTCAGCTTGGAAACAATGTGTTTGATCTCGAAATGCCCAAATTAACAAGCTTAAGTTCGAATACCTGGTTTGCAAATCAAGGTAAAGGCCTAGTTAAATCGTCATATAAACCAACGTACTACTTGTCTTAACTACAGTTCCGTTTCATATTTATTATTTTTATTATTATTATTTATTCCTACTCCGTTCTACCCTAAAAAGAGTGTGTCGGTCCTGCTGATGCTATTTATATAGGAAAAAACTGTGCCTGGAGCCGGGTAAAAAACCTATATCGGTAACAAATAGGAAATAATTGTTGAAAAAGCCAGATAGTTGCAAAATAAGGAAAGGTCCCAATAAGGCCTTGAGCACTAGTGGTCCTCGACTTCCGCTCCGGCCGCCGCTTCTACCTCTTCCTCCCTTATTAATATATCCTCCTACTTAAATTCCAGATTTCTCGCTAAGCTATATTCCAATAAGCGGCCGGAATCCATTAGCTAACTTAGAACCTTTCCTAACAGCCTTCGGTTCCGAGACCCTATACCTTATAGTACGAGGCTAAGATCTCGATACGTACGGATAGTATTTATTAGTTAGGTTCTAAGCTTCGGTAGTACTGGGCACTATATAACGAGGTACTTAATTATTTTACGGCCTTCTCTGTAAGTATAATACGAGAGTAGTTAGGTATAGAATTTACTATTTAAATAGGAAATCTATTACGAATATAATATAGATATCCGTAAAAAATAATTAATAGGGAAAAAGAGGTACGGTAATTAATTAAAAGAAAGGAGGATAGATTAATAAAAGGTAGATTATCCGGGATATAAAAGAATTATAAACGATTTTAAGGAATTATTTATAATCCTTAAAAGTCGGTTATAATCTAAGGAGAAATAAAATAATCTAGGCTTAATATTAGGTTTATATATACGGAGGAATTAAATAATTTATAAATAATTTTATAATATATAATTTATAATTATATTTATAGTATTTTATATTTATATTAAAATATTTTATGATATATTATTTAACTATATTAAATTAATTATTAAAAATTACTTTTAACCCGTATCCCTTTTAAAGGTTCTATATAGGGGTTCGTTATAAAGTCCTATAAACCTATTACTCCGGTATAAGCCTAAATTAATAGAGAGCTTTAAGCTTTAGTTAAATCCTTATATTTTTTTAAAGTTTTATTTATAAAAAGTATTTTTAGTGGTCCTTCGTCCGCTATCTTAATAGGTCGGCCTTCGACCTATTTTCTTTAACGGTTTTCCTAAACTTAGTATAGTACTACCTTTATCGTGGGTACCGGGGTCTCTCTCTAGCTCTCGCTTTAACTTTAGTGCTGGCTAACCCACTAGTTAATAGTGATAATAACTCTCTTAATAACTGTGGGTTCCTGTGGGTGGACGGGTCTTCAGCCTGGTCTCCGTCTTTGGAAGCGTCGGTATATCCTATTACACGCTTCTTGGACGAGCTGCCCTGGTGGGTGCTTTGATGCATCTAGTCCTTGCCCGCTGTGTAAGCATGGGTTCTGTGGCCGGGCTTCAAAGTCTGCCAGTCTCTTGTTGAGGTATAGGTCCAGTGGTGGCACCCAGGTTTCGGTTTCCAAGTTTCTGATTGGTGTAGCCTTGTATGCTCCGGCCACTATCCTGAGGTTCCTAGTCTGGGCCTTCGCCAGCCTCTTCGCCAGACCGCGTGGTTGACCTCCAGTTGGAGTGGGTGTGTGGTAGTTGGCAGCTCCATAAGCTATGGCGCTTCTGATGCACTTGGTATTAGGATGGCTAATCTTATACCCGGCAATTCTCTGTGTTAGCTCGTCGATGTTGGGTGGCTCTAGCAAGTCAAATGATGTCGGCTGGGAAGTTACGAAGATTTTTATGATGTCCTCGCATGAGCCATACTCCGTCAACAAAGGAGGAACTGTCACCTTGATCAACTTTTTTGAAGAACTTCCCTGAAAGGCCACGTCGCCCATGTGTGAAGGAATGACTTTATACGTTCCATAGAGTATATCTTTGACCCCCAACATGGGGCTGAACGTCATAGCACTGGTCTAGCACTCAGCTTTCCTTCTCCAAGTAGCGTAGTCCAAGAAATATGTCATGACCTCTGTGCTGTCTCCTTAAGATATAATTACCTCGTGATCTAATTAAAAGAGTATTATTATACATAAGAACTTTGCCCCGCACGACCGAATAAAGCTTGTTGTAGCGCTTAGAGTTACGTCAGGCCAACTAACTCGATATCGAATTCTTCGAGTGGGCCGTAACTTTATAACGTGTCTACAAAGTGTTGTGGAGCCACCTGTCTTCAGGACGAAACAGGATACTCGATTAATGAAAGAGGCGGGATCCAGAAGGATCTAGACTATTATAACGGGCTATAAATTAATGGAGACCCCCAGACCCCTCCTGTGTCACGCTACAATAGAAAAAAAAGATAGAGAGATAGAAACAGAGATCAGCTTAGCTGTCTGTCGTGAACGTTATAATTAGGACGCGCCCCGAAGAACAGCCAATAGTAACCGTTGATGCCGCTATAGCAAAACATTCTGGCAGATATTCCGGAGGCAACCATAGCCAGTTTTCTAAGCCCCTCGTAATCCACCTATTGTCTGAGTTTATTCCATAGCATGGGGGGTTGGCATCATCTGATCCGGATGCAATCAGCGTCGAGTTAATGGAAGACGCTACCGACTGAACAGAATCGCGATGCCCTTTGAGCGTCTGCGTACATGACCCCGTAGCCGCCTCCCAGATCTTGATGGTCTTGTCGCGTGATCCTGACGCAACCCACTTCGAATCGGGCGAGAACGCTACCGACATTATCCAATGGCGATGCCCTTTGAACGTCTGCGTACATGACCCCGTAGCCGCATCCCAGATCTTGATGGTCTTGTCGCGTGATCCTGACGCAATCCACTTCGAATCGGGCGAGAACGCTACTGACAGAACAAAATCGCGATGCCCTTTGAGCGTCTGCGTGCATGACCCCGTAGCCGCATCCCAGATCTTGATGGTCTTGTCGTTTGATCCTGACGTAACCCCCTTCGAATCGGGCGAGAACGCTACCGACATTACCGAATCGCCATGCCCCGCGAGCGTCTGCGTACATGACCCCGTAGCCGCATCCCAGATCTTAATGGTCTTGTCGCCTGATCCTGACGCAACCCACTTCGAATCGGGCGAGAACGCTACCGAGTGGACTGAAAGGCCATGGCCCGCGATCGTCTGCGTACATAACCCCGTAGCCGCCTCCCGGATCTTGATGGTCTTGTCGCCTGATCCTGACGCAACCCACTTCGAATCGGGCGAGAACGCTACCGACTTTACCCAATTGCGATGCCCCGCGAGCGTCTGCGTACATGACCCCGTAGCCGCATCCCAGATCTTAATGGTCTTGTCGTATGATCCTGACGCAACCCACTTCGAATCGGGCGAGAACGCTACCGACATTACCGAATAGCGATGCCCCTCGAGCGTCTGCGTACATAACCCCGTAGCTGCATCCCAGATCTTAATGGTATCGTCGCCTGATCCTGACGCAACCCACTTCGAATCGGGCGAGAACGCTACCGAGTTGACTGAACCGCTATGGCCCTCGAGCGTCTGCGTATATGACCCCGTGGCCGCATCCCAGATCTTGATGGTACTGTCGCTTGATCCTGACGCAACCCACTTCGAATCGGGCGAGAACGCTACCGAGTTGACTGAACCGCCATGGCCCTCGAGCGTCTGCGTATATGACCCCGTGGCCGCATCCCAGATCTTGATGGTACTGTCGCTTGATCCTGACGCAACCCACTTCGAATCGGGCGAGAACGCTACCGAGTTGACTGAACCGCCATGGCCCTCGAGCGTCTGCGTATATGACCCCGTGGCCGCATCCCAGATCTTGATGGTACTGTCATCTGATCCTGACGCAACCCACTTCGAATCGGGCGAGAACGCTACCGACTTTACCCAATTGCGATGCCCCGCGAGCGTCTGCGTACATGACCCCGTAGCCGCATCCCAGATCTTAATGGTCTTGTCGTATGATCCTGACGCAACCCACTTCGAATCGGGCGAGAACGCTACCGACATTACCGAATAGCCGATGCCCCTCGAGCGTCTGCGTACATAACCCCGTAGCCGCATCCCAGATCTTAATGGTATCGTCGCCTGATCCTGACGCAACCCACTTCGAATCGGGCGAGAACGCTACCGAGTTGACTGAACCGCTATGGCCCTCGAGCGTCTGCGTATATGACCCCGTGGCCGCATCCCAGATCTTGATGGTACTGTCGCTTGATCCTGACGCAACCCACTTCGAATCGGGCGAGAACGCTACCGAGTTGACTGAACCGCCATGGCCCTCGAGCGTCTGCGTATATGACCCCGTGGCCGCATCCCAGATCTTGATGGTACTGTCATCTGATCCTGACGCAACCCACTTCGAATCGGGCGAGAACGCTACCGACTTTACCCAATTGCGATGCCCCGCGAGCGTCTGCGTACATGACCCCGTAGCCGCATCCCAGATCTTAATGGTCTTGTCGCGTGATCCTGACGCAACCCACTTCGAATCGGGCGAGAACGCTACCGAGTCGACGGGATGGCGATGCCCCTCGAGCGTCTGCCGGCACGCATTCCAATTATTCTCTACAATTGGCCCCAAAGCAATCCACTTCCGTTCTTTCTCCCTAAATAGGCCTCTTGTTATACTTCGGGCGGGGCTAAACACAAGTGCCGAAGCGTATACCTGAAGAGGATAATTCTCAACAACCCATCTCCAGTATAACACAAATCGACGCATATCAGCGACAAGGCTTGGTAATTGAGACATAATCGACCTATGCTAATCTCCTATTAGAACCACTTAATAACATAATACTATCACTGGGTAGAGCCTACCTGAAGAATCCTTTCGAGGTTTGCTATTGAAAGTACCCCCTGCGGCATGCTCTTACAAAGTGAAAGCGCTTCAAGCCAGTGGAGGTAATGCTGTCTCAGAAAGCCATCGACGATACCACCATCTTGGAAAACATCTGGATGCTTACTATCGTCACTCGCCTGCCAGTTACAGAGATGATCAACCCAGTAGATACAAGCATAGCATGGTGCGGCCAACGGGTCTGGATCGGGTAGCTTGGCGTCGTCGATGGAGGATCCCGGGGCGCCAAGGCTGTAGATGTCGCGTCGTAATGTTCCGGACATAACGTGTAACGATCGCAAGAAGACGGCATGGTGTATGTCTTTTATCCCGAAAGGAAAAACCTCATGAGCTGCTTCTCTCAGCAAGAAATCCTTTGCGGATTGGTGGACGAAATAGATAGTGGTTTCTCGAAGGGTCAAAAAAGAGCCGCAGAGTCCTACTATCTCTGTTATGAATTCCAGTTCGTCGGAAATGCCCTCGGGTATATCCACGAAGACCGCTAGCTCTTGTATCGTGATAGGCCGGTAAGTAATGGAGAGGACGGCCAGAACTTGTTTGCAGAGATCTGGCTCATTCGAGCGGCGAACCTGATCTATCATTTGTTGGTAGAGAGAATCAAGACCAGGTGGAAACGTGTTTAGCTTGGTGAGTACCCTTGATCGTGAGACATTCATAAGTTCTTGACAGACCAAAGCCACCCAGAGGAATGTATCGTTTGCGTTGCGGGTTAAGTGGTGTTGAACAGCGTTCTTTGTTCTGTCGTCGTACCTTTTTAGCCGTGCTAGTTCATCCATCTTATGCTGAATATATATGCTGACAGCGGAGGAGATAGACTCTTCGTTCAACTCAAGACTGAGCCTTATCTTCTTTTCCGCGGCTTCTAGGCTCTCCTCGATGTTCGGCCAGTTGCGACTAGAGACGACCCACTTGACACAAGGAAACGTAGATGACATCCCGACGATAAATTTAAGAAGTCTTGGTAAGTCACCCATGCATTCGTCCAGAGCGTCGATGACCAGGTAGGTTGGCTTCAAGTTCGGGTCTCCTAGCATCCCCCCCAAAATATCCGAGAAGACGAACCACGCATTTGCGTCAGAGAGCGATTTAGCTTTGTCCGTGTATTTGCGTATGTGGGAGATGAGACGTGGCTGCTGGTGGGCAAGAAGGTAGATTAAGCCGCGTAACACGGCAATGGCGTTATTGATGCGCGAGTCGGTAGCTTGGCAGAAGAAATAGGCCAAATTGCGACAGTGCCCGTCTGCAATAATAATACCCTCCAGCTCGTTAATGATGCCGCAGAGCAACATGGTCTTGCCCTTGCCGGGATCTCCTTTAATCCAGAGAAGGCGGCTCTCTGACCGGTCATGCCAACCGCGGAAGTCGGGGGTATCGAAAACCCAGCGGTAAGCGTCATCAAGCAACCCACCCTTTGTCTCCTCGATGCGCTTCTTGTCAAGGCGCGGGTCGGTAGAATGCAGACTGGACAGACAGCGATCATACTTACTAATTTCCTCTCGCAGCCGCTCAAATGCTCGTTCTTCTCCTTCGCCGTATAGAAGCCGCATTTGTACGTTAAAGATGCCGAACAAACAGTAAGCCCTGTCTTCTTCGCGCGTCGTGCTGCGGTGTTTAATCCACGACATGCGTACGTCAAAGCTGAAATCGGACAATTTGTTGGCTTGGAGAGCTCCTAGAGGAATGCCAGTTATGTTGTGAATATGCTGTGCGAGAGACTTCTTATCTCCTAGGCGTTTGCGGTCTTCGGAGAAGAATTCAACAATTGTTGGCGCAATAAGCTCTTGGAGGGTCCACCCACGAGTGAACCATCTGGATTTCTGAAAAGCCAATTCCCAACCGGGATTGCTATTGGCGTCCTGTTGGTAGGTTGAGACGTCTGTGAGATAGACATAGCATTTGGCCGCATTGCGGTACCATCGGAACATAGAGTTGAGAGCCTCCTGAAACTCATCGCAGTCGGACTTGTTGATGCAGCATGTGTCGATCCAGAAGAATTTCAGTCCATCACGCCCGGCTTGGTCTCCGCAAAACTGGATCTTAGAGTAGCCTCTTTTGTTCTTGCGCGTACTGTCCGTTACATCCTCAAAGCTGACCTCTTCGTCGCCCCATGTGTGCGAAAGTATCGCATACGGTGGGACCTGGTTGTCGGGAATGTCGCCCGTCAAACTGACATCGCCGGTATCATTGCGCTCCAGGAGGCGCATTGTCGAAAACCGCCGAGCTCAGCTCTCGTAGCATGGAGAATGGGTCATGCAAGGTTTTGCGAGGCTTCTTTGGCTGCCTCACGTGTTTAGCGGTAGAAACACGAATATGCCTTAGGCCTTTGCAGTCAAAAAGGAATCTGTTGTCTGCCCGTATGACTATTCGACAGCGGGAAAAGCCGAGCAGGTGCGCGGGAGACGGACGGAATCAGTAGGCTTAACAAATCAGTAACTGAAACCAGGATAAGCTCTCAGACATAGATAAGAATTACCTGCCCCGAGTAATTGTTGAGAAGCGTTGTATAAAACCTAGTAGGTTCGATTGTTGCTGTTTCCAAAGGTCGACAACCCCGCACATCGGGCATTTTGCTGACGTTGGCGCCCAAGCGGTTGGCGTTAACTGCGCATACTGGAAGCATCGTGATTGGCGTTGCTTTGTTGGCGTGCATGAAGATGTCCCTTTGGAGGCCGTCGTTTTGCCCCATCGTTTCGTTCTCTTACACCTCAGCTTCTCAGCCCCCTACCGCCGGTATCCCAAAAGCTGTCTAGATCTTACAGGACTATAGTATATCACCCCGACATCAAAGATCCCAATATCCGAGATTTGTGGCTAGGCCAGAGAAAGCAAACGACTATATACCTGAGGTGAGGGCCTGGGCTGTGCCGCAGTGATGAGCCAAGTCCAGCACAAACGTGCACGGACATCCAAACGTGATCCAGTCTCTCGGCTGAATCCTCACCAAAACGCATTCCTTGCGATAGCACACATATGATCTTGATTTCGACTTCGAAGATCGGAGTGGTAAATATCCAGATATACAAAAAGTTATGCTTCATCATCATTCCGCCTGAGAGCCTGAAAATACACGCTCGATGTACCGAAGTACATATATTTGCTACAGCCCGTTTTATTTTCGATTTTTATTTTCTGTCGGCGCTTACATGCTTCAGGTTCATTAGAGGATTGAGGGTGTGAATGTAGAAGATCGGGAGAGAAATCTGCATCAGATTTCCCTGGAAATGACAGTCTGGGTGTGCTTTCTTCGGGGATAAATAGGTACGCAAAGATGTGCCTGGCAAAGTGGCTTACGGCGACAGGGAGAAGGCACGATGGAAATAATTGATATTGTAGAGTCACTTATGTAGTAGTCAGTATGTCTCGGTACATATCCTAGGTAGTAACCACTCTCCCTTATTTCTCAATCAACCCCGTAAACTCAAGCCTCTCCTTCGAGCACGGCTGGAGCAGCTCCTTCAAGACCGGGATCCACCACTCCTCATGCGAATGACAAAGCTTCATGGCAAAGGCATACTCAGCATACTCAGGATAAAAGCCACTCCTTTCCCAGTCGATAATCCCAGTTATTTGGCCATCCTTAACCATGATATTCCTCGGTGTCAGATCTCCATGCGTCAGAACAAAATTCCCAGACGAAGCGCGGCGTTCCTTTTCCACAAATCTCTTCCATTTCCACTTAGTGAGTGCATTCCCGTTCACCCGGGCGAGACACCACTCATCGAATTGCTCCTCGCTGTCAAACGGCCCCAGCTTGGTGGTGCCAATCGAGTCGTAGAGGTTCTGGGCTGGTTGCCGATCCAAGCGACCAATGAAGGGTTGTTTGCAGGCGCGCATGCGGGTAAGTTGGGTGCGCAGCTGCTCTTTGATACTCGATTGTTCGCCGGGAGTCAAGTCATGCCAGGCCTGATCAAGGCTAACGCCAGGAACCAACTCGCTGACCATCACACGGGCGAGAAGTCTGTGGGCAATCACGTCGTAGACGCCACGGACGTTGGGAGCTAGGATACCATTGGTAGCAGCGTATTGCATCATGTCGGCCTCGGAACGATCAAATCCCTTTGGAGGCTTGACTTTGACGGCTAGAGCTACACCGGATGGGGTGGTGGTTTTGATGACGCGGTTGCCGAAAAAGTTGTAGATTTCGTTTCCCTTGACTGCGTCCACGTAGCCCATCGTTTTGAGGTTGGGCAGCTCATCTTTGGGGTCGACTGTTGGGTTGGCCATATTTTCGGGTTTATTAGGGAGTTACGATGAGAGAGATTACGTGGAGTATTTGGTGATCGAAGACAATGTATGTTTTGGTTCACTCTTTTATGGTTGTCGGGTTGTATTTATGGAGCAGTCGTTGTCGTTGGCTGTTGGTTTGTTTCACGACATCGCTCCTTCACCCCGCATTTTTCTGCTGGGCCACACACTAGGTAGGGTAAGGGTTATGGCGCAGTGCATCGCCAGTCTTCGCCCTGGGCCTCTTCGCCGTAATACTACCTGCCGCTGACTGGCAACGATATGACGGTTGAACGAGAGAGGATATCTATGTTGTGGCTCAAGCAGGCCTCCACGTTCCCGACAAAAAAACAGTAAGGGTACAGATCCGATGTTTTGTACAAAGAATTGCTGTCAGCGCGCAGCGCAACAGAACTTGTGTTGATGTCTATCTAGTAGTCTGTGATTTCTAACCAACAGAGATCTTATGGTACGTGTATCCAACAAACAACCAAAACTCCAAACGCCATCTACCGCCATTGCCAATTCTCCATGTCAAAGAACAACACCCCCATCAATCAAAGTGCCATTGCTTCTCCTGATACTACTCAGTTGATGGAAAAGCGACTGTTTGAGCGGCCACTATCCCGACGGCTTGGGCCGGGAGCCGGAGCCGGCGGAGGCGCAGCCCTGTGCCGCCCCATGGCGGTCGTCATCCTAGTCAGAGGCGTCGGGCGATCATCGCGAATATGACTGATGGCTTCGGCGGTGACATCCTCGGGCCACAGCTGATTCATATAAATGATGCTCTCCAAGCAGAAATGCTGGCAGTTATTGAAGAGCTGATGGTAATCGCCGCTGCGGTTGAAAACCTCTTCTGTGGCGCGCCTGACCTGTTGGTTGTTGACGATGGCGCCATTGATCGGGAATGCAGACCTGGCCCTGGTGTTTGTCAACACGTATATTTCCTCGTTGACTGCGTAGTTTGTTTTGGCCTTGGTTCCGCTGGATCCACCAGGCAGGATGCTGATGTGGTACAGCCTGCCCTGCGGGCTCCCGTCCTCATCGGGAAGGAAGAGCCCCTGGTGCCCAGTAGTGTTGCTTCCCCACCCGACGCGGTGTAGCTGACGCCGAACTCTCATGTCAAGCTCAACGGAAGAGCTTCCACGTGAACCAGGTCTTGACGGTGCACGGGGAGCGGAGTCTCTAGAAGGAGGACGGGCCCCGTTAGAGTCTCTGGAGGGAGGGCGAGAGGCATTAGAGTCTCTGGAGGGAGGGCGAGCAGCAGAGTCTCTTGAGGGAGGACGGGAACTGCTAGAAGGGGCCACAGAAGAGCCACGGCTGGCGGTACCGTGACTGGAAGCCGGCCGGCCGGAGCTGGTAGAGGGACGGGGAGCCTGAGCCTGAGAGTGGGTGGAAGAGCTGGAAGAGCGACGAGACATGGTTCTTGATGTTGGAAAAGGGGTTGGAGATAACGATGGGTAAGCGAGAGATAATGATAATGCGGGAGGCTTCGATCAACGATGCTGAATGTATGTTTGGGCTGGCGAGGGTCGGTTTCATTCTTGAGAGAGCAACGAGGTGTATTAATACAAGTTTTTATCCAGTAGATAGATACCTAAGGTAGCTGATCATCTGGACCACCAGACATTACCGAAGTGGCCAACAGCCAGGTCTGTAACAAGCCTGACCACATCTCGGCTCATATCACGACGCGTTGACCAACGGACAGCCTAGACTGAACATCACCAATCTCACGGCGTTGAGGATCTTGGCCTAGACGGCAAGCCAACACGGTGACATTTGAATCCATACGGTGGAGCCAGCAAGGCCAAACGCTTCTGTAAATAGTGCAACCAACCCCTTCTTCTTGGCTTGACCACTGCGGTGGACGGGGAACCAGACCCTGAACTGTGGAGTTCAAGGATCAGAATGCCCATATTCACCACTGGCTGCCCATCTTATGACATTCTGAGGCCGGATGTGGCGTGGCGGCCCGTCGTATACGTATGAACGCCTTGCGGCGCGGAGACTGTGCCTCTCGGAAGGCCATAAGTTACCAAAATAGGCTCAGGATTTGGTTAGTAGCATTCGCTTATCGCCGAACTTTGGGGAATTACGCCTCGAGGTTGCCTATATCCATCAAAGCTGTTGGTCCCAAAGCCGATGTTGGTGTATCTATTCCTCCCCTGGCTCAATACCAAACATTGAACAGCAAGACTGACCGTGAAGATCAACGCCACTGTCCAGAGCTGTACGCCCCAACTTAGGTAGCTCTCCTGCTACGCTGTAGAAGAACATTGGCTTAATTCCTGCCCCTTGCATCATTCATCTATCGCGACAGCTTTCGATCCCGCCACCAGGTCTCCATGCAGTCGTCCCGGCTGTGTGTGTCCAACCGTGGACGGCCCAATTAACCAGTGCACATTAGCCGACTGACAGTGCCGGTGCAACTCAAATTCCAACCACACAACCATCACGACCAAGGTTTCTTAACGAGGTACCCCGCCGGCAAACTGTTGACCTTCCATCAGTGGCAATTCTTGGCAAACTGCTACACCTTGGCAGGTGAGTCGAGGCCAGCCGTAGATCAATGTATATAGCCATAAACAGATGCGTTGGGACCAACGATGAGACTTGGTTTCTCAGGCGCAGTTTCTGTTCAACACCATGCGGCTCTTGATTTGGGCTTGGGCTGCTGCCAGCCTCTCTTTTGGCTGTGTTGCGTTGCTTGAGGAGCGAATTGTTTCGTTTGAGGTCGATGCTGATGCGGCGGCGGCAAGCGCACAACTCGATATCGCCAGTGCTCCGATTCTTGTCTCTGAGGATGATCCGATTGGCGTTCATATTGCGGCCAACAGTCTGGCGAAGGATCTTGAGCAAATCACTGGAATAACCAGGTCTGTCGCCAACGCGACCTTGGCCAGCATCTCGAGCGAGGCAAACCGGGGCCCATTCATCATCGCCGGCTCGGTCAATTCGACATTGATCCGCGACCTGT